ACACGGATTCGTATGCGAGGATGCTAGAAAATGTTTTGACCCTTATGACATGCACTCTCGAAGGACCTCGCCATTGAGGTCTCGTAGCGAAGTGTCGACAGTCTATCCAAATTGGAGGTTGTCTTTTCACAAACCAATCAATAGCTTTCTTTACCGATACGAAGGCAGAGTGGTCCACCTAAACAAGATCACTCGAATATTTCTTCCTATCGTGATGATATACAAAAGAGAACCAATACACTGCAACAATTTTTCGTTTGTTCATCGTCTCGAAATCTGATCAATTTTTAAGGTCATCGATACGTTTTTGCACGTAAAAGGATACTTTCTCCATTGCATCTCGTAGTCGAGATACGTTCAGAAATGCATAAAGACAACAAATAAGTGTAATCGATGGAAATCATTTTTCACGGGAAGGTAGGCGACAAATTCGAGATTGCAACCGGACGGCAAGTATCCTAGGAACGCCTCTCTCATCGTGCGTTCATTTGTTCAGCACGCATGCTCATAAATTACGCTAATTCGCGAGCGCCAACTAGCCTTCCAAACGTTAAAACGAAAACCCAAAGCTGAAACAACTCTAATGTTCCACCGAGCCCGCACAAATCGTGCTCGAAATAACGCGAGAGCCACGCGCGTGTGCGCATTACACATTCCAACTTGCCTCGATCGTTGTAATCCTCGTGGGAGTGCCGGTCGCCATCAATCCTGATGCGCGAAACTACTCATCGGTCCTCCCGCGGTTCCTCCGTTGATTTTCGACACTCCCTTGATTTGTCTGTGTCTTGGGAATCGCGTGAGACCCTTCCGTTGGACCCGGTGATGAATCGGGTATCGTTCGTCGTCCACGACGCTGACTGTGTCCGCCACCCTCGGCTCGACATTAGCCACGAGACTACTCCATCAACTACGCCAGACGATACGACTGTGTCTGCGAAAGTTCCTACGTTGGCTCGTTTTCTTCCCCCGGGACGGGAGTGACCATTCCACACCTTTTCGCACCTTCGGGTTCCGCCGAAAATAGCCGGAACTTCCTTGTGCTTGATCATCGTCGACGTTGTCGCCAAGTTTCAGAACAGGACGAATGCCAGCCTCTATCGATTTATGGCTGGATATTAGAGTTGAGCGTTCTTTGAATCAATTGATCCGTTCGTTCTACAAAAGGATTAACTCCACGAAACAAAAAGTTAAGAAGTGCGATCAAAATGGCCTCTGAAATAAATTATTCATTACTCAATAGTTAAACAGCCGAAAGTTCGAAAGTCGACATTAATTTCTTACCGATCTAATATTATTATTTCATAGGTCTCGAGGCCCTGTAGAAGTGAATCTCTGCGGACCAAGCTATGGCCCGAAGTTCATTCACATTTTTGCCGTACCCAATAACGTAGAATAGCCCAACATCCTCTGGATCCTCCAGCGCTCAGTCGCAAGCACCCTTCATTCGTACCCGCGTACAGCATTTTCTCGATACCCGACTAATAAACTTAATCTCGAATCGATCGTAAAGTTTGAATAATCGAAGGGGTCGGGGAAGAAATAGCGATGGCTCGTGACTTCTGCTATCCCAGTATGAGGCAGTAAATGAGGCACCGGTGACTGTTCCTCTCTTTCGCTGCGTAAACACGAGGCATTGCAGTATACACGGACATTAGGCGAAGGAGACCCACGTAGATTCTGAGAATGCATATAATTAAGCACGCTGCATCTCGAGAATGCTGTGTACGTGCGTGCGTCCAGCTTTGTGTAGTGACTCGTTCGAAAGGCAAACGTGCCCGTGTGCACCTTATATAGATACACATAAATATATGCCTAGCCATCGTTGGTCTCTCCACCCCTGCGAACCTCTCAGCCCCTGAGCACCTCATACCCCTCTGGCCCCGTCTCCTGCAACCCTGCTCCACTCTTCCTCCTTTTCTTGCCCCACGCTCAACGGTGATCTATGTATCAGCCTGTGCTCGCCGAACCGGGCAACGTGTGTCCGTCGCCCTCGTGTGCTTACTTTATTATCGAGGCTCAAATGAGAATTTATGCAGACATAAACGCTCGTGTCAGCAGCATGCCGCGTAGGTGGGGAGACACACCGTTGAACAGGCATCTGTCACCCTCTATGCTCTACCTGGGTCTGCCTCCAAGACGGTGCCGTGTGCTCTTTTCGAGGGGCCGGCCGCGAAATTTAAGGAATCAAGAATGCGGGAGAGCGACAGAGAGGCACGTCGACCGAGAGAAACGAAATCGCCGCTTTAATGGACGGGACTAGTTTCGTCGATCGTCGATTCCCTCGATCGATCGAACGCGGAACGACCTTTGCGCGTCATTTTTTCGCGGAGGAATACGAAACGCCTGGGTTGCGCCGATCTGGTTAAGGAGGGCAGTATCCTCCGGATATAGCGAAGCGTGGGCTACGCGCTCCCCCTTTAGGCTCGTAAATAAATGAAACCTACGAGAATACGTCGTAGTCGACTCTTATACAAATAAATAAATGTTTCACGAGGAAAAAAGTTACGTATTCTCTCTCGATATGAATCATCGTAAAAGTGTCCGCCCGTTCGGTATATTCCAGCCCCGAGGTCTTTCGTGGAACGAAAATAATGATTCCTTCGATTGAAATACAATTTACCTCCTTATCCTTTATAGAGTACTTTAATAAGCATGCCGTCGAGATATATTAGCGGTATAGAGATAGCCCTTTTGCATCCAGTTGAGTCTCTCTCCGAGTTCAATCGTACAAGCACGCCAAGTCCGAAGCGTATCGGAGTATTTGTCACCGTGACAGCCGTGACTTTAAACTCGATTCTTGGCGTGGATCGACTTCGAGAGCTTCGCTTAGATTTAATGCGAAACTCTTCTTCGCTATGAATCGTTATTACCATATTATCGACGACACTTATCAAGACGCTGCAGTTTCTAGCCGCTCCGATGAGATTCTGTTCGTATATCAAAGACTGTTTCTCCTCGGTTGGGTAATACTTTACTCGTTAACAGGTACACAATCGCGTCTGCTTTGAAATGCGCGGAATCAAACATGATCGACTGGTCACCTGGTCGCAAGGTCCACCATCAAGCGACCCCCTTATCTTACGATTTAATTTCAAAGGAGAGTGCGCGTACAGACATTTTTATTTGGCGCAACTGTGCGCGTGGAATTATCGTAAAATAAAACTAAAATATTTCAGTCATGGAAAAAGCAGTCACGCGATTAATAAATTCTCGATGTAACCGCCGTTTACCCTCACGATGAATGGAAGCGAACGAAAATCAGGGAAAGAGGAACCATTTCGTTTATCTTTCGAATTATGTGAAAGGCCGTTATTGCTCGTTATTAATTAAAAGAACGGGCGCAAATTTATTCGAGGAAGCTACCCGTCGATATTGAAATATCGCCGTTGGATGATATACCTCGTAGCGTGTTTTCCTTTTTTCCGATTATCCGTTCAATATCAGCGCTGACGTAAAATGTATCATCACTGTACGGAACGGAAGGAACGGCACCGCCATCACGCATCCGAAAATTAATCGGCGTGGGCGCAGCCGATAACGAATGGTGTTCCCGCCAAACGGCCAGTATATTTTACTTTGGACTCCAGTGTCTGTTATTTTGCGCGCATTCTAGCTGTCCGGCTACACGATTTACTCCCGGACTCGATCAGAAATTCTCGGCCGCAGTGGATGGACAAATATCCACTGGAATCCATTAAAAAATTGCCATGTCCTGGAGAATTGTCTTTTAATTGAAATTGATCTCCGAGGCCGCGGGATATTATATCCTTCAGTCTCCCTGGCCACGAGATATTGGAACGTTACAGGGTTATTGCTTGTTTCAACACCTGGCATACTTTCTTCTGACGTATCGACAGATCATTCGAGTTTTCGTTTTAACGAGCTCCTGGTACTTGAATACATATGTATCGGCTTGTACGGAAAATTCGAGTCCATTTTTGTATTATTAGGACAAACCATCGGGGGCTGTAACATGCACCCACCCAGCTATAGAACGGGCTTAGCGATCCTGGGGCACTCGAGCTATAGGGGGGCCAGTGGACCCCGATAGACATTTAACGGAATGTAAGAAAATAAGAAATTATGTAAAACGATGTAAATGTGATAGGGAAAAAGAAAGCACATATGTGCAAGTCTGGACCAATAGGTACTACAATTTTAAATTGTAAAATTATGTGCGCCAATAATAAGCTACATACTAAATCTGACCAGGAATATATCACTGAATACCTAAACTCGTATATTATAATAATATTTTTAATTTCTTTTGTTTTGGACAAGAGGAACAGCCGGAATCATGGGCACCAGAACTACTTTTTTTATTATTTTAATAAAGACCTAATAGTTTCCCCCCATAACATCCAAAAAATTACCTAAAAATTACGCCTCTAGTTTCCCATTACAATTTGGACTCCAATCGCGAAAATCCGATGAGCGCCACTGCGGGCGACAGAGTTATTCGGCCCTGGATATGGTTGAGCACACTATGTACACTAAACCAAGTCACACCCCGTCCGTGATTCATTTTACTTAGAGTTTGTTTGAGTTAGTAGCGATGCCAACGCCGCGGTCGTCTCAGGGGCGTCCTGGAAGCGTTTCAATCTTTCCCTTTGCAGTTGGTGCTCCAGCCGCGAATAATACGATGAGCACCGCTGAGGGCTCGAGTCAGTGCGGGCGACAGGTGGCGGTAGTGTCGCAGGTTGCGCGTCGTTTTCCGCCATCTTTAGTTGACGGATCTGTGCGAAGACAGGCCAAGTGTGTTCCGTGTGGAGAGAAGAGATAGGTGGAGAAGAGTTCGGTTGTCGGGGCTAAAAGAGAATTTTCCGGATCGAGCGTCACGGTAGTGAGTCACCCGTGTCCTCGTTCGAGCACGATTCACGAAATCGCCTTCGGTCGATCCTCGCGTTACGGTAAGCACTGTAGAATTTTATCGTTCGCCATTACGTACGTCGACCGATAGGGGGGCAAAAAAAAACTTGTCATTTCCGTGACGGCGGTGTTTACGCTGGGTGTGTCAAAGTGTTCCTTCTCTGTCCCCTTTCTCTCTCCCGCCAGCGTATATCGTAGTCAATGTATCTCTCGCCCGTTCTTCCGTTTTCACTCCCCTGCCGCTCTCCGCTTTCCGCCGCCCGTGGATCCTTGGAAAATGGTGATGCATTGCATTCTCGGAGGCTTTGTTGTGCCGCACGCCCACGCGCGTCCCTCTACCTTCGGGATTCGAGAAACGTTCGCGCCTCGTGTGCACTTTTAGCTTCAGCGATTTTCTGCCATATTCGAGCAGACGGAGGCATCCCTCGGTGTCGTGTGTGTTTGTTCCAAGATAAAAACGGAAGCTGCGTGAACGCTTAGAGAGAAGAATCTTTCGATCGTGGCCACATTCCGTGCGGTCTCATCCTCCTTCCATTCTTCGTGATACGGTGCACTGACCCTACGCGCGTCTCGGCGTCTTCGAATCTTCTAACGAGACGAGTTTACGCTTGGCTTCGTGAAATTCGGGACTTTCCTTTTTTTCCTCGTTGTCGTTACGGGACTCGGAGGAGCTGTACTCCAATTCGTACGATGTGTCTTCTTACTTTACTTTGCTCGATGTAGAACGCGAACGTGTGCAGAGATGTTCGATTCTTGTCAGAAAATTCATTTCAAATCAGTTTTTAAATCAGCTTTTCAATCAGTAAAAAATTGAGCCTACAAAATCAATCTTTTGCAAATCGATTCGAATAAATGTTTTTCTAGTTGTTAATTATATTTCATGTATACTTTGAAATGCTTAGGTTAGATCTGAATATTTATATCATTAGAAAAGAAAGAATTGGTTAGAAATTAAGTTTGCAAACGAATAGTGTTAATCGGTCATGTGTGGAACAGAAGGAAATTTAAAAATAGTGAATGTTGCAGATGGTACGATGATATTTGGCTGCGATTGTTGGTCATAATATTGCCTGCTTTTGAAAATAAATGCTCCATTGAAACGGACATCTCTACAATTGGCAGGTATTGTTTGGCAACAACGCTTAATGAGGAACAAATTCTATGTACTTTATAAGAAATTGCCCAAACTTGCTTTAACGTTTCACAAGGGATTTAACGAATCGATTCTTGACTGAGAGATTGGATTCGTGCCAGAATACAAGAATCGATTAAAAGAATTCTTCAAGAAAGATTGATTTTCTAGAAAGTGATTAAGAATCGAACATCCATAATCATAACATCATTATACTAGATTACCAATTTTTAATCTGGATGCTTAATCCTGATACATGTATTAGATTATTTGAATGAATCCTGGCTTTATTGAAAATAGCAATTATACACATATACAGGGTGGAGCAATAACTATTAGCACCTCAGATATCTTTGAAACTATAAGTTTCACAGAAATATTTTCTGAAATAAAATTGGACAGTACTTCAGATTTCCAAAGGATCTTAAAACGAATTCAATGATCTTATGTATAGCTTGTTGAACTCGTTTTAAGATCTTCTGGAAGTCTGAAGTACCTTTACCTGCAAAAAACTATTATCACCACCGGATGACCCCCTTTGTACTGTGCAATTTTATTTCAGCAAATATTTCTGTGAAACTTATAGTATCAATGATATTCGAGGTGCTAATAGTTATTGCCCCTGTATATCACAGTGTTTCTTTACCCTAGGTGTGGATAGACTCTCCCGTAGGAGCCATGAGTTATCAAATGTCTTCAAACCAGTCCAGACCGAGTAAGTACATTTCACATCAATGAACATAACAATGTTGTAAAAGATATATGTACTATGTGCGTTCGAATTTTTAGTGTCTCATGGAAATTATCAAGGTCTGGGGGATCTACCCATGGGTTCTGCCAAAGAGCAGACCCTAATGTGGCAACAAAATTCATACATGGGTGATTCGGGCATACACTCTGGCGCCGTCACCCAAGCGCCATCCTTGTCTGGTAAAGAGGATGACGAGATGGAAGGCGACCAATTAATGTTCGACTTGGACCAGGGGTTCGCCCAAGGGTTTACTCAAGACCAAGTCGACGAAATGAATCAACAGTTGAGTCACACGAGATCTCAGCGTGTTCGCGCTGCGATGTTTCCGGAAACTTTGGAAGAGGGTATTGAAATCCCTTCGACGCAATTTGATCCGGCTCAACCGACCGCTGTACAGAGATTGGCAGAACCAAGTCAAATGTTGAAACATGCCGTCGTCAACTTGATAAACTATCAGGACGACGCGGACCTAGCAACTCGTGCAATACCAGAATTAATTAAGTTGTTAAACGACGAGGACCAAGTTGTTGTATCTAAAGCAGCAATGGTGGTTCACCAATTGTCGAAGAAAGAGGCTTCTCGTCACGCTATCATGAACAGTTCTCAAATGGTAGCTGCGTTAGTTCGCGCCATCTCAAACAGTGATGATCTTGAATCGACAAAAGCAGCAGTTGGCACATTGCATAATTTATCTCATCACAGACAAGGTTTGCTGGCTATTTTCAAGAGCGGTGGTATACCTGCTCTCGTGAAACTCTTGAGCTCTCCGATGGAATCCGTTCTGTTCTACGCCATAACGACGCTTCATAATTTACTGTTACATCAGGATGGTTCTAAAATGGCCGTGCGTCTCGCCGGGGGCTTGCAAAAAATGGTCGCTCTACTTCAACGAAACAATGTAAAATTCTTAGCTATAGTAACGGATTGTCTGCAAATTCTTGCATTTGGTAATCAGGAGAGCAAGTTAATCATATTAGCTTCGCAAGGACCAATAGAGCTAGTACGCATTATGCGTTCATACGATTACGAGAAGCTTCTGTGGACAACTTCCAGAGTCTTGAAAGTGTTATCAGTTTGTCCTAGCAATAAACCGGCGATAGTCGAAGCGGGTGGCATGCAAGCACTTTCCATGCATCTCGGTAACCCGAGTCAGAGACTCGTCCAAAACTGTTTGTGGACGCTACGAAATTTGTCGGACGCCGGCACCAAAGTCGACGGATTGGAAGGTTTGCTACAGAGTCTCGTACAAGTGCTTAGCTCGACCGACGTAAATGTCGTCACCTGTGCTGCTGGTATCTTGTCGAATCTTACTTGCAACAACCAACGCAACAAAGTAACGGTATGTCAGGTGGGCGGCGTCGATGCTCTCGTTCGTACCATCATTTATGCAGATAGCCGAGAAGAGATCAGCGAACCAGCGGTGTGCGCGCTCCGTCATTTGACGTCACGTCACGGAGAGGCAGAAACGGCACAGAATTCTGTCCGACTGAATTATGGCATCCAGGTCATAGTGAAGCTTCTACATCCATCTTCACGTTGGCCGCTTGTCAAAGCTGTGATTGGATTAATTCGTAATTTGGCACTTTGTCCTGCAAATCACGGCCCGCTTCGCGACCACGGAGCAATTCACCATCTCGTTAGGCTTTTGATGCACGCTTTCCCCGATACACAGCGGGTGAGTATCAATTTCAAACAATTCTACTCGCAGACATAGCCGTATAATGCTTTCAATGACCAAATATGTCCTACGTATCTAGCAGCAACGATCATCCGTGGCAAGCACTGGAAGCCAGCAAACGTCGGGTGCGTACGTGGATAGCGGTGTACGCATGGAAGAAATAGTGGAAGGTACCGTAGGAGCGCTCCATATTCTCGCGAGAGAATCACACAATAGGGTCATCATCAGATCTCAGAACGTTATTCCGATTTTCGTGCAGGTCCGTACATTCAAGATATACTATCTTCCATTCGCACGTTTCAAACGGAATTACAAAAAGTTATTTAAAGAACCCTTAATTTTGATTTTATTAAATGACACGTAATCGATTCATTCGTGTTACAGTTGCTATTCAATGAGATCGAAAATATTCAACGCGTAGCGGCTGGAGTACTTTGCGAGCTTGCCGATGATAAGGAGGGTGCTGAGATGATCGAACAAGAAGGCGCTACTGCTCCCTTGACGGAGTTGCTTCATTCTAGGAATGAGGGTGTCGCGACTTACGCGGCAGCCGTGTTATTCCGCATGAGCGAGGACAAACCGCAAGAATACAAGAAACGTTTGTCAATGGAACTCACGAACTCTTTGTTCCGTGACGATACCAATCTCTGGAACGCTGACTTTGGGATGCCTCCAGTTTTGCAGGTACTGTAACACGTGATATCGATGCATGCCTCGCTTATGCCGTGGCTAAATTTATTTTTTTCCAAACACTTTGTAACATAGGTTATCTTTCCTTTTATTTTATATTCTTATCTCTCTTTTTTTTTTTTTTAAATTTTAATTTACCGTTTTTGTCTGACGGCATCCGCTGCTGCGATAAGAATCAGCACCTCCGTATTTGCTATTCCGTGCTAGCTTTCGTATAGATTCCAGAAATCAGGTTTGTAGGACAGCTTGCGATAAAGTCGGCGTTTAGAGCAGAATAGTAATTTCCTTCTGTGCGATTGGTTACATCGTGTTAAGTAAATTAAGCCACGAGAACATAATAGCGACATAGCGATTATATCTGACTAGTAACGAGTACTTGCATACGTAATCCAACCCCGCCATGTAAGTTTAGAAATGTAAAAACTAGATAGTTTGCAAAAGTGAATGTCGTTAATCCATTATTCCAGTTCGCACAACTTAGATACCGTTCGATGTTGATTTCGCGGGAGAATTAACGTGAAAAAATGAAACGAATCGGTTAGAGTGTACAGACACGTAGTTTTAAGGTAGTGTCGATGATCAATTTTCAGATAGGTGTTACCGCTACATTTTTATCATTTGTTGCGCATACGTTCATAACTACCGTTCAAATTGATGCTTCAGCTTCGACTTCGTTACACGTTCACTTCAAATTTCCACGTAGAGAGGTCCAACAAAAATACGTACACACTTTTCGAAAATCCACGTTTCTCTGTCCCCATAGTAAAGGTATAGGGTTGAATCTTCGTACAAATTTATTTCTTTTAGAGCTAACGTTTGACGTAACAAGTCTAAATTGATATCGAGGTACGCTTCACGTACCCGCTCATGTTCAAACGCGTGACTAGCGTTTTCCATTATTACGACGAAACGTGCAACAGACAAAGGAAAAAAAGTTGTCGATTTATGGGCTGATAAATTGCGTGTATTCATTTTTTTTTGGACACTCTATATGTATATCCGAGTCATTAACGCGTTATTCATGAGCTGAGAATCGGGGCCCCCAGGGTCGTGCCTAATGGAGCAATGGAACCTGTAATAAATGTACAGCGACGACTTTATTATGATCCTCAGTTTGCAACGTTACGTTATGCATGGGAATGCGTTTCGTTCCATTCGTGTATCACCCCTTGCAGGCTGTGTAACAGAAAAGAAAAGAAAAAACGAGCCGCGATAGTACTCCTTAAACGCAACGAACGCGTCACGCGCAGATTATCATACGCATATACATATGCATATCGTGCCGTCTTTAAACGCTAATTTTCGACGCGACTTGTCCGACGATATCGTCGACGAGTATCTTGTCGACCTATACTCTCGCCGGGGTATTAATGACACGCCTACAACAGAAGATAGGTTTTGTGTTGATCTGAGCTACCTAATCTTCAGGACATGCTTGGCCCTGATCAAGGCTATGATGGTATGTATGGACAAGGACCCCCTAGCGTACACAGCAGCCACGGAGGCCGAGGGTACCAACCGCAAGGTAAGTCACGAGCGTTATCCTATCTAACCGATTATTGCTTTCGAAAGATCCATACGCTCGGTCGAACGTAGGTGAATCTACAAATTTCTTCTCTCCGCGATTTTTAACCCATTCGAAGCCTGCAATCAGTTGTCTCGTTCGATGCTAGTAATGTAATCAATAGTAATTGTACATCGTATAGTAACGGAAGAAAGTGTGTAAAAATTACAAGTAGCTTTTCTACAAATTGCGAGTACGTGTTTGAAATATCCAAAAACTTCTAGTATTATCTGAGTGTTAATTTAATCTAACTATTTAAGTTTAATCTAAATTTAATTTAAGTACCGTCAGCTTTGAGTTCGGTGTATTTGCAATATTCACGGAAGATCTTTAAGAGTTTCTTCAAGCATGTTTCTTCGTAAACAAAATTTGTAGAATTCTGTCTCGATTACAAGATAGTTTCCTTATGGATAAGAGAATAAAAAATCCCAGCTCCAGTGTACTGTCTTGACGAGACCTAGCTTCGAATGGGTTTATGGTTCGTCACCGTGATCTTTGATACGCCTTATGGTTTGCCGAGAACCTCTGTTTCTCTGTCGAAAACAAACTCGTCCTTCCTTCGTTCGTGCATCGGGAACAGATTGGTATGGTAATGCGGGTTTATGTGCTCGTGCCTTTTTGTCTTCTACTTGTATGATACGATTTTCTGAGAAAACTTTCCGATAACCCCCTCTATTTCTTAATATTATCGACGATAAGAAGAAAGAAAAGTAAGCAATGCATTTAATTCTATGTTGTTTTAACAGCAGCTTAACCGACGGACTTATATTAAAATACAGGCTATCAACAGTATCTCGCAGTAACATAGGTGACACTCAGCTCTTACGTACTGTTCTGTGCTTTTTTTTATTAATCGCTTCAATGATTTCTTTACACGCTTTTCGTTGTGTACACGTTGAATATATCACACTCTCGTCGTAATACACCTTCCACTGAATTTTGTAAATATTATACATATATGTAATGCACGTTTTTTGCGAATGCTTTTTTGTTTCTTTTTTTTTTTTTTTTTTTTTTAAATTAAAACCCACAAATTTATATAGCGTTTTCTGTAATTTATTATTTACACAAAGTTTCATGCATGGTTGTACTCGTATTTTCGTTATCTTTTCTCTAATTGAACATACTTTATGGTGGAAAGAAGCATAAAAAACGTATTCGTAAGTAATTAGATAAGATGCTTTCGCGATTGTAATCCGTTATCCGTTAATTCGATCGAGTATCCGTGAAGAAAATTCGTTAGCCGCGAAGAAAGCATCGCGGATTCAATGCGCGATCAAGATGGCGAATCTAATTTCAGTTTCTCGAATTCCTTCCTCCTACATCGCGCATTTCATTACATACTTCTCGTGGCTATCATTTCACGCATGCATACGTTGTTTCGTGTCGACCCTTGTACCGCTAAATTCTCATCTCTCTCTCCCTTCTCTTGACGAGAGTTTACTTCTTTTTACGCGTCATTATGCTTCTGGATTTAACCGCAGGACGACTTCTCTTCAATTTGATTTGAATTAAATGAATTTGTAATATTTACGAAAAAAAAAAAAAATGTAATAGAAAAAAAAAACACTTGTATTAGTATATTCTAGTTTGACCTCTGCCGTCGTTTGAGACTCTTGTACAACTTAAACTTCATCAGATATAAGTTAGATGATATTCTATTATTCATAGAGGTCGTTATTATACTGTCATTACACGTCTGTTTACGATACATTGATACATCAAACCTACAATTTGATAACATACAAAAATTCCATTCATTATAACAAAATTCACTATTTCATCTAATAAATACTGTGTAAGTAGAGAGAATAATTATTCTGAAATCTACACGGGACACAAATAATCTATACTTGCGTATGGTTACTCGAATCACCAGAAGTCTTCCAATGGTTAATGATTTGAAGCGATCATCTTTGTCGTTCACTTTCGTTTCGTTATTGACAAGTACCGAATGGTTTCTTTCCTCGTCGAGAAGAAAATAAAAAGTCTTTCGCGAGTACTGTGCAAAGTTGTGCTCTACTGGTTGAGGAAATTTTAGCAGAGTCTTTAGCAGTGTAGTTTCTTGTCGATAAAACCGAGTACGTTGGAACGGACGATGTTTGGATTTATCGTGAACTTTCTACCTATACAGGGTATGGCCAGATACCAGTAGATTCGATGCAAGGATTGGAGATAGGTGGAGGGTCGACATACGGCGCAATGGACACTATGGACGTAGCGCACGAGGGCGACCTGAGTTTCGATCATTTAGAAGAGCTTCCGGCACCGCCGCAAGATAACAATCAGGTTGCAGCCTGGTACGACACCGATCTCTGAAACCGTGCCAGCGCCCAATTCTCGCCGGAGAAACGGACTAGTGAGGCTCTTAAGTAATTTTAACACAGACTAGGCGTCGTCGTCGTTTTACTCTCACCCTGTATCGATCGAGATCTAAAGAATTTTTTGACGAATAAACGTGGAACGGGAGGTTCCTACGAGCGAACATCACACGACACACACGAATACTCTCGCAGACACACACAAGGCAGACACGCACACGGAAATGTATTACATACACATATACACACGAAGAGTGCGGGGCAACTTTGAAGCTTGTTTTTACGCGAATGAGACAGGGTACGGAAAAATCGTGTTACGCGATCACTGCAGCGTCGAGAATAACTGCATTGATTCCTAGAAATATGAAGCCGGTTACGCTACATACAAATATATAAATACATACAAAAAAATATATATATAAATATATATATATATATATATATATATAACTTACCAATGTCGTACCTTAGATATTTATAATAAAAAAAAGGAAAAAAAAATATATAGGGAAAACTCGGAGCTGTTGTCGCGACGCGAGATCATCGTTGCCGATGGTTAAACATAGCGATTACACTTGTCAAGTGACATCGTAAACGGTGGCCGTGACTTGTCATCCAAAAGCCCCGATGGATTATAAGTAACACGGTATCGATTTTATACCTTCCCTTTTTTTTTACGTATCTTAAAACAAGAGGAAAAAAAAAAAATTTGTTAATGCGTCGGGAGAAAGACGATGTCACGTTTAATATCGTAGATCTAAGAAGTCAGGGTGAGAAAATGTTGAACGTGCGAGTCGAACGTAAACGTATTCAATGTCCGTTCAGTATTTTATTTCACGTGGCCACGTTCCCGTCGTGCGCATAAGCGATCCGTGAAAAGCTTGTTCCGACGAAACCACGAACTGTAAAATTTGTAGAATTGCGAACTTGTTTTCACCGAGATTGTAACTTCGAGTGCGTTTTTCTTGAGGACGATTCAGATCAGTTTCGCTAAACGCCAGACCAAGTCGATTCATTTCTGTTTATTTTAGGGACCATTCAATTACGCGCGAGTCAAATCCGCTGCTGGCGCATCGTTCAGTTCGTTTGAATTTGTAAAACCACCGATACGGCAAACTAAAAATTAAACGACGAACGATGGAAACATACCGCATTTTTTTTTTTTTTTTTTTTTTTATATCTATAAATATATATATACACACACATACTCGTTGCATTTCACGATTGTACTTGCGTGCATCCGTATTCGAATACAGATCCTTGGAAACTCTTTGGTCGATCTCTGTTCAGCCCGGCTGTCGTTTATTTTGTTAACGCGCGACAGCACGCATTGTATTGTCAAGAAAACCACTTTGCTGGGGATGACGTGTCCGGGATGGGAGAAAGTAGGGTTCGTAGAAAATCATTTTCTCATCGCGTATCGATGAACCTTGCGAATTATTCATCGAGCTTCTGTTTTCACGTTGGCAGGATACGCGGTTTCTCGCGTAAGGCGAACTCGGTATGCGCACGTCACGGCCAGTCTACTGGTTTGTGTCGTAAGCTGTCGCAGTGTTTTCTCAAATTTCCATTTGAAAAAAAAAAAAAAAAACCGTCGCGAACTTATGACACGACCCCATACACGGAAATGCAAACTTCTTGCGATTCCCTATGGTTCACCCTGCCGCCTAACGACGCCGATCTCACCAGGTGAATTTTAGAAAGTAAGTATTCGATCTCTGCTGTTACGTGCGTGCGTGCGCATACGTAGAAAAACGAGGATACTCGCGACTCGGACGAGTGTCGAATTAGAGGGATAAAAATAAAGTGACGAATGCGCGGCGATCGTACGATACCTTTGTCGGAATTCTTGCGATCGAACCGATCAATATAAATGCGAGGTGATACAGAATATCGGCAGTAAAGTTTCTCACGTTCCCGCGAGTTGTCACTGATATTTTCCTGTACGCCTCTTTGGCCGTAGCTGTACGGTAAAATGTCAAAGATGATAGTTAAATCGTGCGTCGACAGGAGAAAACGCACTGCCCCGACACCGTCGATCGCTTGAGTAATCGATTATATCATAGATCTCCTCCGAAACTTGTGAATTGCAGAGAGCGATTACCTATTTATACCGCTAATCCCCGAAACGAATAGTATCATTCTCGAGTATCAGTGAATTACAATCACGATTAAATATAAACGAATATCAATGAACTTTCGCATTACGTATTTTACAGGGTAGTTATACTTAATTTTTATTATTATCATTAAACGTAGTTTACGCAATCGTGGCGGGGTACCCAGCATCGTTTCGATGCCGTGTACGCGCCTTCGATCGCTGTCGATGTACTAGACCTAAGAGAGAAACACGTAATTCGTACACACCATGTATATGTATCGTTTAATTGTCCATACGAATAAACTGAACGATTAAGTACTCGAACCCCTGCCTGCCGTTGCTGGACGTTCTATTTCACCTATACGTTCCTTTCAACGGAAATACATGTTGCCTCGATCCCACGTGTGATAGTTTGTAATCTGACTTAAATATACAGCATTAAGGCGTTCCATAAGATGTTGTCCGTTACAAAATCCTAATTTAGTACGCCATTAGATTTATTTAGAAAGCTCACTATTACAACAGTAAAATACGGTACAGAGTATACTATCGATCGATGACAAATTATTCGATATTTCACGAAAGGACAAGGACTGTTTCCCAAAAAAATGTTTAGAAAACGTAATATTCTTATACCATACATATCTTATAACTACTTTTCTGTCACATACTCCATGTTCTCGATTCTTAAATAATAAACTAGAATAGAACAAAAATACAACTTTATGGAAAAATGTATACAACAATCAAATTCTTTCCACAGAGACAATGCTGTCCCGATACGTTCGTCCAGCGTCGTAGAATTCCATAGGCTGGTTGAAAAGTAACCAGGAAGCAAAGTGGCTAAAATGTGCAATATTTTCTGGGACAGCCTAATACGTAGAACGTGTACGCGACGACTTCCAACTTCATCGTTAGAGGCGTTAACGCGTCACGGGGTCAGATCCTTCTAAGGATTTCAACTTACTATCGAGAGACACTCGTAAGCCAACATGATCTTGTCCCACCGTATAAGCGCGCGCCAAGCGAATTTCTCGCGACGATTTCTACGGGGTTTGCTCGCAACGAAATCGTTGATCGATGATCGAAACACCGTATACGGGACTTGGCCACGCAAAGACAGATCAACGCTCGTTTCGCTGGAATACTTGTTCGTCGTATATGGAAATGCGTGTTAAAGGTATAACGCACCCAGTGAAATCTTAGACGACGCGTAAACGGTCAAGTACCGTAACGAATTAGCGTTGCTTCGCGATATGACAACGAAGAAACAGAAAATATGGTCGCCAGAGATTGGAAAAAACACAGTAGATGTAGTTTAAATTGTTTAAAAAAACAAGTGATTCAATGAAAGATCCGTATGTTGGGGTTTACCATGTTGAATAACAAGAAAATAATTTTTATTCACTTTTTTCAAATAAAATGGCTATCTCGTGGACCACGGACCACTCCAGTGACAGTGGCAGTATTGTAACTGAAAGTGTATTGTAAGTTGATGAATTTGTCTGATCAAATGCAAGTACATTACGCATACAAATATATAAGGTTCCATTTAAAAAAATTAATTTGAGATATTTAAAAATTAATTTAAAATGAGATATTTTTCCATTATTTTCCAGATATCGATCCATTTTTATTTAAACGCAACACTCTGTACATAGTTCGCCTCTATGATCACCCTTAGGACGGCCAGAGAACGCTCCAAAAGCTTCGACCACCTGTTTCGCTCAGGGCCTGAGTATTTTGGGGAGGAAATCGCGCAGATCTCAGAAGGGTCTGGGCGGAAGGGCGAAGGGGAAGGGGTTCTCGTCTTTGGCGCAGTTGTAATGTATGTAAATGTAAACAATTAGTCGAAGGAGCTGGTAAACGGTATATACCTGTAGGCGATCTTGTGACGGAGAAGGGCGCGCGTACGTTCGCCAGGTCATTAATCGACGGTCGACTCTCGAGCGGCGCACATTCGTGCGTGCACCTCGCTCCTCGAAGGTTCGGCTATCGCGTTAACGGTTACTTCTTTCTTGTGACACGAAGAAAGAGGATCGGCGGCCCCTTGGAGCGAGCCCGGTTGTTTCTTAGACTGTGAAAGGCCGCTTTACCGTTCCCGTGGTTCGACGAGGGAAACGTTTCCGGTGCGAACCAACAGCTGTCATCCAACGGGAAGGAATATTGTTTCCAGTGGAACGAAACCGGTGATGTTGCGCGAATCTCAGTGAATATCGTGCGCACGTTTAATAACTTCGGTATCGTACGATTAAATAGATCTGTGTCAAGGGGAGATATATGAATGGTGAAGTGATGTAAATATCGCGAGGATCCTTCGTATCCCCAAGAAGAATTAACAACTGGAATAGAGGTAAGTGTCTTGAGAAATTATTACTAGAGTTGTTGATAGTGACCTCTTGCAATCTGAATTCTTTTTCTGATAACTCTTTCATTTTGCGCGTGTGTTTCTTTTAAATGTGCTTTGGAAGATAGCGTCTTGAATAATTATATTGAAAATGGGTTTCAAGCACTCTAATACTTATAGAACTTTTAACTGAAAAATAACAAAAATTTTAATAGATATCAACGCGTAGATTCAAATTATCAAATAATTAACCAAAATGAACTTACCTGCCCAACTCTGATGTTAATCAGTTTGAGCATCCTGGTTACACGGTTCCAGTGCGATTCAAATAGGTCAGGCTTGAAAGGAGCAAACTTTCCGATTCCACAAGGTGTTGCATCTGGAATCGAACTGCAATTAATGTCACTGCTAAGTAGCTTCTAAATAAATAAATTCACGTCTGGACGCGTGATTCGTCTTCGTGGAACGACTCTCCGCATTCTTTGCCGGTCAAAACTTCCAGTCTCTCAAACCTTTAACCGCTCAAGCAATGCGCGCCGTTGTGAGACTTGTTTCGCGCGTATTTTTCGATTTCCAAGCGCGTAAACATGACCGTGTAGCGTAGAAGCGATTTAGTTCCAACGCAATTTTATTCAAATAATATGTAACGAATCCAACGTTTTCTCCATTGAATAGTTGAATAGTTTCTTTCTTTCTTGAGAGTTCAATTCCGTAATTGAAATTCAAATTCAGAATTTCACAAGTTGGAAGTAAAAAGGTGTCCATGCTCCGTTAGTTACTTGAGATTTTTTATGTAAAGGTAGCTATGCATTGTTCTTACCTTCGAAGCGACTTTCTCCTTCGAGAGCGAAGTATTTGTTAAATGTAACACAGAAACTACACTGTGGAGCATAACTGTAGCATCACTCATATTTTTAATGAAAGAGGATTAATTATATAAGTTGAAATGATACGATAAGTAACGAGATTTATTTGGTAGGAAAATTCATCTGAAATAATTCAAAGACTTCTCAATCTTGTATGTATGATATATTCTATTTTGCCACAATAAAAACACAAATGAGAAATAACTAATACCACACATGCGAAGACATAGGTGACGATATATTTTACACTCGTTTCATATTTCATAAATATATAATATATAAATATAAGCCATATATGAAATGTAATTACATAAAACATTTTTAATTTATTATAATGTTATATTTTTATATATTATATACATTCCAAATGGTGCCTGTGGTGGGAATGAAAGCGTCGAGCGCATTTACCCTAAGGAGCTGCAGAGATATCCTTCGCAAGACGGAAAACAATCGCGAGTTTCGTAACGAAAATAAGCCGTGGTTGCTCGTAATCGAAATCGACACCGGTGGAAGACGCACAGCGTTATTTTCTATCCGCAAGCTACCCTTGAAATTCGATTGTCCACGCGTGGGAGCCGAGGAAAAAAAGGACACGCGACACGTTATGCGAGGCATAGTACACGGTTCATTGACAGTCGCTAGACCCGTGTATAGAGAAGGTGACAGCAACTTTATTCGATGGAATCCAGATTTAAACTAGTTACCCTTGAATGCTACCTCGAAAGAGTGGTTTCGGGTGCAGCCAAATTCCTTGAGAACAGGTTAAAGATAAAAATATCCCTTGTTCGTCGAACCTTCGTTTCCTTTCTTTAGCCCCTTTCGCATTCGTGGCTCAGAATTCAGTTTACAAAAGATTGCAAGATTTACAAAATTTATAAGTAGATATTTACGTATTCGTGGCAATTGCGAGACGAGGAAGGGTGCAAAAATTTGTTTATCAAATTAAATACCGAAGTGATTTGACCCCAATATTTCGCTCGATAGTTCGATCGACAGTTCGATTGTTCAGTTGTATTTTGGGAACTTTACCGTTTAATTTTCTGGTGAACAAGATGGTTTCAGTTTAATTTGAGATTCCAGGAGTTAACATGGGTTTGTATGCGTGTAAGGTGGCTTAGAATGTAAGTGAGAGCTTGGTTAACCTTCTGGAAAATTGCATGAATGGCGGTGTCATCAGTGTATAAGGCTAGTTTGGTCTTGGGTGATTTTGGTATGTCGTGTGTGTATATGATGCGGAGAATGGGTCTGTTCGCGGAGGTCAGGAACAAGGATCGTAATTATGCACGATCTCCAACCTTGATTGGATACTAGTGACCACTGATGAGGGTTCGTTTTCTAACGGAACTATTTAGTGGCTCAGGATCCTTTTCGTTACCCAATTTATCGGAATCGCGTACTTAATTCTCTTATTCGATTTCAATCTTAATTATTGTAAGGATTTTTACTCTCATGTACTTTCTAAAATTCTGCCCATAAAATATCGACTATTTGTTCAACCGGTTACCACGATTATTGCAACAACCTCGATTATAGCATGAAGAACCTCTTTCACTGCATGGTGTTGACAAGTTGATGAAATGGTCATTAAAATATATATAAAGTTGAGGGTAGTGGTGAAGGTACAGGACGATTTCTTATTCGATCGATTGCCTCGCTTATTGCAGCAACCTCGATTATTGCAGAACTCTCGGTCCTCATTTCCTGCAATTATCGAGGCTCTACACTTTGGTCGATCGACTGATTAGCGAAAGGGACGGAGTGACTTTCGTGCAACGAAACGAAAAGCGACTGAGTCTTGTCATTTGATCTCTTCGTCCTTGCTCGATAACCCGTGCCCTCGTGTAGAGCACGTAGAAGCATCACGGAGAACCGGTAATGACGTGAAAGTGCATCCAGGAGTGAAGGAGCGAGGTAGCGAGCAGGTCTCCCGTTCCCCTGCCAGTCTCGCACCGCACAGGACAATCTCTCGCCTCGAACTCCGCTCAGACTTTGCCAGAGAAATTCTTCTTCCACAGCCACGGCGATTAAACTCTGTTTATCTGGTCGAACGCCTCGCCCATTTCTGCCCCCTTCCTTCTTTTGCGCACCTGTCGCTCGCGAACTGTCAGGTCACTCGTAAATTGTATACAGTAGATTGTATACTTGCTATAAAATAGACAAGTGCCAGGCTCCGAATATTAAAACAATTAAAAATACTGCATTCATGCTATAAATGAAATCGTTTCATTTCTTTTTATTTTGGTATTAGAGTAACTGCCATTCTAATTGTCCATGAAATTAGAGAAATTGAAAGTTTCATGTATTAATAAAACATAGTAAGTTAAATGATGCATTAAGGTAGTTTTAACTGTTTATACGGTAAATCAACTGATTTTCTGTTTTATGGATATATAATTTACCAGAAAAATATTATCGATTAGGGTCCTGTTGGAAGGTGAACGAACAATATTTAAACATTAAAGAGGACCATCGATTTTAATAGTCGAAACGTCTCGCAATTGAAATGCTTGGAATGACATTATCCAGTACCTATTTACCAAGAAACCCTTGCAATTATCTTTCTCTTACTGTTTATACAACAACCACAACGATTTATACCCAATTCTGACTCGTGCAATTAAATAGATGAAATGTAGATAGAGACTAGCTAAGCGGAAGTACGGTATGAATATGAAACTATGCAGCGTTGGAAACTTACAAATATGCGAATATGCAATATCGAAACCATTTTACTTACAGGAAGAAAGCGCTGATTGTTTCTTTATTGTGCACAGGTGTCGCGACGCCAGGTTTGGGCTTGGAACGAGGCAGAAGTACATGGAACTAATCCCGTTGGACAAAGTTGTTTTTCTCTATCGAGACGAGGGAAATTATCAGAGATAACGGGTGCGTTTGTCGAAAGGAAGTTCAGGTAAGCGATGGTGTTCGTGCGCCTGCACGCGGCAAATCTACCCAAGGATCGTTGATGGAGCTGATAGAAAACGTTTCAACGGCTGAAAGATGACCGTCGCGATGGATCACAAACGGAAGAGCTCGTGGGACTCAAAGGTGAGTAGAATGTGGCGCACTTTCCCCTTGTATGCGCTTTCCTCGCTATCTTGCCGTTCGCGTGGTTAATTAACTAGTCGGTCTCCGTGTGAAATCAGACGCGATGGAAAACGTAAAATCGAAGGCAAATGATGTCTGTCGACAGACGTGCATTGTGTCTAACGAAAGTGTAACGTCAAAGGGGAGACGTTTCTTAGGCGATCCTTCAGTGCGATAAAAACTTTCTGAATTCCGTAGATCAAGGTTTCTCAGACTACAGTTTATGGGGATTGATTGGGGAGGAATTGATTGGACTGAAATAGGATAGTGTTATTAGTAGATTCTAACCCTTCCACCGATCTTAACTCTAAACGACTCCAGGTACTATATTCTAAAATAAAAAGGTATAGTATTATTAGTAGATTCTAACTCTTCCACCGACCTTAGTTCTTAGCGATTAGGTACTATATTCTACAACAAAAGGGAATAGTATTATTAGTAGATTCTAACTCTTCCACCAACCTTAGCTCTTAAGGAAGGACGTGGGAATTTAAAGATGAATGACAGCAACCAACTCCATCCAACACGAACCCTATCCATTTCGAGGACGTTTCGGTGATTCGAAATAATCCTACCGCGTCGTTTGCCCGGAGACGCGCTGACCTGGTTCTCCATTGACCCCGTATGGCACACGATGCCGAATACCTACGCACCTCGACGGAGAACTAGGTTGGCTGGAATAAAGAACGATGCGTTAGCTGGGTTGGGTTGGCCTGGGTTGGGCACGTCGTCATCTGCTCTCTTCTCGATACCGTTACCTCGGCAACTAGCGGCCAATCACGCGATTGGCATTCCGCTCAAATATCTGAATGACATTTATCACGTGCTTCTCGACCGTTCTTGTCGAAGTCGAAGCGAGCATGAACTCCGTGCTCGCCTTCTAACGCGAACTCGAGCCTGGCAACCGACTTTCCTGGCCATGTCGCGTGCAGACTTCGACGCCAGCCTGTAATTTCGCTGGGTTGAACAGTTTCCAGAGCTATACCGTTGCGAGATAAATGAGAGTGGACTGTGCAGCGCGGAGGGAATTTCTGTTAATCGGAGAAAACGATCATCGGGTTTAAGGATAAGCGCCGAGGCGATAACAGGCGGGCGTTAGACCCTCGTGCACGAGTATTAGGATATTTATCGGCCAAGCAAGATATCTAGAACGTTGAAAATTTTTTTTAAACACTCGAAGGTGCGTTCGTTTAACTTTATACGTTGTAGAGGGAAGGGCGGTGGATAGAACAACTCGAGGAATACGGTATTTTATTTTATTTTATTTTTCTTTGACCGTCGAGTAATGGATTCAAAGAAATGTTTATATTCGTTAAATCAATTTTTTTTTTTAAATATCAGCTTATGGGGAATGATGAGATGAAACTTTTTTATGTTTACAATTTATTCAATAGGTCGCTTAGTTTCGAAAATAAAAATTGAATTTCAGAAAAAAGGTCTTCTAAGTTTTCAATTTTTATCTCTGAAACTAAACGTCCTCTGAATAAATTGTAAATACAAAAAAGTTTCGTTTTGTCAGTCTCAATAAAGTGATATTTTTTCTAATGTAAATATCGCTCGCGGTGGTTCAGTGATATTCAAACGAGGTTGCTGGTCGAGGGAGATAATCTTGGTGCTCCTTGAACCAAGACTGAACTTTTCTACCCGTACGCACAGATATCAATTCTCAGGCATTGCGGTCGATGTATCGAAGTGGTATCGGAACTAGTTATTGATATCGGTAAGATGGACTCGATAGTTCTTGTGGCATTCGTACAATCCAAGCATCAACTATCATCGACATCGCAACAAGAAAATGGTGTCACTAACTCGGTGTCACAAAGTGGACGAATCAGGTCACTTGGTTAGAGCCTTGGTTTAGAAATGCCTCGAATTATCATCTTGGAAACTGGCATCAGCATTGAGGAACAATGTGTAAACCATAGTATTATATAAACCTGATTATTTAGAAAATCCAAGTATTCGTAGCTCCAAATAACGTAGCCAATAGGATACCTAGTAAAACAATGAAAATTTCACGTGTTTAAAACGTTCGATGTGGAAACTTCAATCTGAGTACAGATCTCTTGAAACTCAGTTTTTTCAGAAATAGACAGTGCCAGTCGTACATATTACCACTGACATATCGTAAACCTGACAAGTGGAAGACTCAATCTCCGAGGAACAAGATCAGGGACCTTAAGCAGTAGCCATAAATAGCACAGCCGAGCTAAGTGCAACCAGTACTCATTGGATAGGCACTTAGATCTAGACTTGTTAAATCCACCAATAAAACGAAAAGAACTTTTCGAGCGACCTGATCAGTAATCTGCGTCGAACGTCGCGTTTAGAATGTCCTAACAGTTACGGGCGGGTGTGTTACGGTTTGCCACTGTTCCTCATAGTTGGACGGCGCGGCACGCGCGCTCAGCGATAAACGATTGTATTTTAAAGCGGGCAGAACTCGTTCCTAGATGTCTGCTCTTTTGGAAAGGTGGTAGTCCAGTAGACGTTTGGAGTAACGGTAATAACGGTGAAGAAAGACACGAGGAACCGGGCGAGCCAATGGAACTGGGTAGATTCTTTACGCGGGTCGTTGACACCGTTTCTTATACCGATACGGACGTTCGACGTTCAATTCTTATCACGCGAATGGAAAAGTAATTCTTGGACGTCCACCGTTGCGATTAGACGGAGATGAAAGACTCCGATCCGTCCAAGAAGAAAGGAATCGTCGATGGAATGGATGGGTTTCACGGTCTATTCTCTTACGAATCGACGATTGCCGTTCGATTCCGTTCTACCGGAACCAGAATCATCGAACGGAACTCTCTCTATAACGAGGATCAGCAAGGAACTTTCACGAAAGCACCACCAATGGAAAGCACTTTTCTAGCGTGCCAAGTCTTGATTTTTCTCGGCCTTGAAGTCATTGACCGTGTCCATTAACGGAAGCGTTCTCTGGGCTACTACAACCAGCCCAACCGTGTTTTAATCACGCCGACCGATCTCGGCTAGTTTCGTCGTTTACTGACATTGAATTCTACTTTCCAACCCGATGCGTTCGGATTTAATGTGGCCTTTCTCGGCGCGTTGATGGTGGAAAAGGAGAGGAGGGTAGATTAACGATACTTGAATTAATTCGTTCCTAAGCAAATTTAAAGCGATTTGTCTTGGGCGCCAAGATTTAATACAGTCGTGTAATCTAGGTTATTATTTTCATAATAAAAAGTTTGTTAAATAAAATATTGAATTTGTGGTTTAAAAAAGAAAATTTACGGTCGTCTCTTTGCAATAATTCGTGACTCAAAAGGATATAAAGTTATCCATTGAATATACCAATAGAAGCTAAAAGTGAATCGAGATTTCGATGGAGCGTTACGTAACCGAGCGCGATCAAGACACCAGGGGTGTCTTTGGCGAACAATGGCGCTGGTATATTGCGAAAGCCGAATGAAAGTTTGAGCACGAAAGCCTTTGTGTTCTTCCAACCTAGTTCGATAATAGTCTCCGCCGCGAGTTTTCGTAGGAAATGCTTGTTTAATGAACCGTGGTTGCGCAATATATGCTCGGTACCTCTGTCGATCGAGCGCGATAAATCACGAGAGAGACAACACATGGCTGCGAAATTATACCGCTGGAACGAAAATCTTTCCACGGACGGTAAAAGTAAATCTTTCTTCGGCCGTGCAACGCGTCCAAAAGGTCAAGAGAGCTCCATCTTTCCTCGCAAATGGAACGGCAACCGACGCGACGAAAGACGACCGATGATCCGCGACGAGAGAATGGGAATCGGTGACACGTTGAGATCTACACGGTACTAGCGATCGTGCTCGACAATCCCGTCACTAGATCCCTCGAGACATCTCGAGAGATTCTCCTGATCTAAGAAATAATTTTTATCTGAAGCGTTTTAGAATTTTGTTTGCTAATAAAACATAAAGTGATCAGTTTTAGGGCAGCTCGGTACCTAAATTATTGATAATTTGTTGGATTTCGAGGAATTGCAAACTTGTAATTATTTGTCGACTATTTGATGGAAAAGTTATTTAAAAAAATCGACAAAGTGAATCTCGTATATGGCGAGAAATTGAGGATCGTAACTTCGATACAAATTGAACAAGACGATCACCAATTAATAACAAAATTTTATACGTACAAGCAAATGAACTTATTAAATTTCAAAAGTTTATGTAAAATATTTTAGCTGCAAAAAATATAACGAAATTTATCTCCAAAATCGGTCGAATAAAATAAGCTTCTTCCAAGCTCATTTGGAAAACTCTCTATACACATAAATAAACTTAAAGGTTGATAGGAAGCTTAACCGATCGGTAGAAGGTTGCCGATCCGCGGGTTCTCGTTTGGAGCGTGTGCCAAGCGTAACATTTGAACGAGGGCGTAGGCCTCTCAGTGCCGCATCGTGAATTCGCGCGAGTACACGCGAGTGCACGATAGTACACGCAAGAGGCGTGTCGGTGTTGGCGATTTACGTGCACTTGCATTTGTGGCGGGATGATTACACAGACGCTTGCGCATTCAAATGTTCGAGTGCATGCAACTGGCGTGTCGGTGTTTTAGTGACTGGCAGTGCACGTGCATCGGTGGCGGGACTATTACACGGACGCTTGCACACTCGGACGCTCATGTCACAAAAGATAAGCTCATTGTACCTGATGCTGAATGTGACTGCTCAACCCGCGTACTGTTCGGACTAACAGTGAGCGTACGGTACACGGTGTACCTGCCAACGGCACCATTTTTTGTGAGGAATGATACACAGTTTGAAGAAACTATATTTTTTCTTTAATTTATAAGGTTGCATCTATCTGCTTGGATCGTAAGCAACCATGTTAACCCTCTGCGGGTTGAATTTTTGTATTCTGCAAACAACTTGCAAGTTGCATTTATTTTAATATTTTAAATCGACGATGCTGTTAATTTTCATTAATATCGTTACTGATTATTAGTCATTTTGTGAAATGACTAAAATTATTTGGCAAAAAGTAGATATACAGTCGAATAGGTTTCACGTGTATCGCACGGTCCGAGATGAATGCACGTTCGAAATCGCACGCAACTCGATCAGGCCTGATCGACCGCAGGGAACTCCAGGTTACGTAACGCATTATTTCGCGCGTTGCACCGATTACTATGCAATTCCAATCGTGAAACGGTTACCACGTAATTTTCAGATCCCCGTGATTCGTTTTTTAACCGCCCTCGAAACGTGTTTCGTTACGGTGTACAAACTGGGATAAACGTCCCAATTGTCGACACACTCTTAGGCAATCAACACGCCATAAATAATATTCGAAAATTACGGATATTACGTTTATTTATGTTGCGTGATAAAAATTACGTACATACTCCTTAAATTTAAACGGCTGGCATACATAGATCAAGCGAAAATGTATCTTCTTACGTTTGTAATTGAATAAACGACAGAGCTGATGCCTGTGCGCGGCGAAACTAATTTTCAAAGGCGATATCAAGCGGTGATTGATGCTTGTAATTAACGGGCAGATGCAATTATTTGTCTGGAATTTCCGTGACGAAGTGATCATCGCGACAGCATGGATCGCTTTGATGGTATAATCTTCGTCGTTTCGTTTGGTCGGTAAGACGGAAATGCGGTGATTGTTAATACAAGTCGTGCCTCGCTGAGAAATCTCGGTAATGTCGACTCTTTCGTGGCTGGGCGAATCTGGCATGGAAAGGGGAAGAACACGGAGTTCCCAACGTTGGTTGGAGAAACAGAGGAGGCATTTAGAAATATATCGTATACTTTGATCGATGCTTCTTTCGTAATGCTGAACTTGCATTTAGAGGCCTTTTCAAGTTGGCTGGCTGAATTACCCGACTATTGTACAAGATGGGTGATATCGTTTAATTGCACAACTTACGTTAGTATTTCTTCTTCTTCAATAATTGATCAGGACTTGAGCAAAAATTGCGAGAACCTAAATTTAATGTCTCTTGATGTACATTTTTATTAACCCTTTCACTGCGGGACGATTCTTGCTGGAAATTCTGAGAGGCGTAGAGGTGTGAATTTTTAAAAAATATCAATATATAGGGAATGATAAGATGGAACTTTTCTATATTTACAGTTTATTCGTGGGATGTTTGGTTTCAAAAAAATAAAAATTAAAAACTTGAAAGACCTTTTTCCTGAAATCTCGTAGTGGACCGATCCTGTCGCTGTTGCCTTACAGAACAAAAAAAAACAAGAGATCGAATTTTTAAAAAATATCACCTTATAGAGAATGACAAAAGAAGCTTTTTTAAATTCGGATTTACCATGAGCCGGTTTCCAATACTTAAATTTTCTCCTTAACATCTTCTTAGCTGAAATGTCGCGTGTATATTTTTATACTTGCCAGTCATCGCAAATTTCTCTCCCAGAAATAATTGCGCGATGTCATCTAACTAATGTTTCAAATTACTCTAATCTATACACTTCAAGCTTCGTTACATTTCCTCGAGCCACTTTCTCGCGACGCAGTAATAAATGAACACAAATTACCATTTCGTTTAGATGAATAACCGTTGGTTCTGTCGAAACTTTCCTTTTATAATTGAACCTAATAAAAAAAGTAACAAAAATATAATTTCCATCGAGAGAACTTGCGCATTATTTAGATATTTCTTTGTAGATCTCGGTGAGCACAGTGAGTACCAGAAGATTTAGCCGTGCAGGGACACCGAGCTCGATTCTATCGTCGGACAGCGACATTCGCTTCACGAGGAAACTTGGCGGACAATATCGTTGCGGGTGTTGCGTCCTAGCTGCGTTTCTGCTCTTCCTTCTCTTCTCAGGGGTCTCCATATACCTCGGCTGTAAGTATCAGCACCTTTACATATTAGCTTTCAACGCGAAATGGAACGTTTCAGAATTTATGATTATTACACAATTAACAGGCTGTGGATTTAACGGCATATGCTGATATAGGAATCATATGCTAAATATATGAGGAATACATTCAATAATTCAAATAAAGAATTCTACGTTTATCAGTATTTTTAAATAAAATATTATGAAAATAATAGAATTCCGAAGCCGGACATCGAAAATTTGTAAATGTCGTAAATATGTAGTGTATAAAATAAAATAATTTTCATAATTTGTTCATAACCAGGAATAGAATTTAAAGGTATTACGATTAAGAATAATTTTGAATATTTATCGTTTTAACAATTCGAATTATCGAGCTTCGTTTGGAAAACCTCTACATTGTTCCCGCCACTGTGTTCTTATGTAAGAACACGTATATATATATTCTTATTATATTTATGTTCCTATGAAGGCCTCTCGAAAACGTTTAACTTTAATGCTTCGAGGCTGTTCAACGCGCACGATCTTTAATTGCATTTCGTTCCTGGCGCTTTCTCCGCGAAACTTACGCGCCAGGCGTGCCGTAAATGAAATTACGCCACGGTTAACCGACAATCGACGGCCCCGGTCTGGCAGGCATGAAATTATACACGAAATGCACCGCGATCGTTTCCCGAGACGAACGAGTTCACGGTGCCCGAATGTTTCATGAAGTGTGAAGTGCGATCGACGTCTTCCTTTGTTTCTGCGAGCGTGGTTTTCCACCGTGAACGCGTGCACTTCACCTTGAGATTGAAGAAAAAGTGCATCGCAAGAGCGCAGACTTGCTCTAACTTTTATTAAAACAACCTACAAAATGGACCAAGCTATCGACGAGTTGACAAATGTTCTCGAGGACGTATACTAAACGTTTTGCACTCGGATGCCCATTCTTGGAGGACATCGCCAGGCTAGCATCGCGAGATAAACTTACGGCGGTGCAACTTTTGGAAAAATTCTTATTTCTTTGAAGTTTTTTTCACGGAGCTGGCATGAAAAATCAAACCAAAACATGATTGCCCCATTCCGCGATTTCACCCGCGTGGAATGCTATTATTGTTCGCGACTTGATTTACAAATTTTTAGATTTCAAATCGAAAGCGTATTTTTATCAAAATAAAGCGTAGCCTGTGTTACCCAGGGATAGTGAGCTTTCTGAACATTTTTTTAAAAATCGGTTCGGTAGCTCCGGAGATTATTATTACGAATATCGGTACAGTGTATCGAGTTACGTAAAAAAATCCAGTATTAAGTCAGAAGAGAAGCAACAGCGAAGCCCTTTTTTAGAAAATCATTTACATTCACTCCTAAAGATTGTATTTTTAAATTACATTCCACGTACAAAATTATTCGTGAAAATTGCTCGCGCAGTCTCGATATCTCCACTCTTTCGTACACGTAGAACGGCGAGGATGATGACGCGGGCCCATTGAGGTCTCACAGCTCGCAAACATAACGGTTTGACCGAGTTACCGACTCTTGGAAGGAAACACGCTCTCGTATTGGTTTTAAGCATCATGCTCGCGTATGATCCAAACGCGTGTCGATTCAAGTATAGCGACGCGAGGATCGGTTCGTGATAAATACCAACGGAATTGGTTGGCTCTGGGAATTTTATAATTCGTGGTTTGCGAACAAAGAGAAGCAAAGGTCGAAGATGGTGCACGGTCGCGTTGGTCCAGCGAAGAGAGGCCTTGAAAGTAGCAGAGGTAACGGTCTGACCGAGTTGTCGAGCTATCGTGCCTGTGACCCCTCCAACGTGCGACCTTAAAGAGGGGATCCGTGTCCTTGGATCATTTCGATTCGTCATCATACTAACCGAATTCTCTGTTGGAAAGTATTCTACGCTCGTAGAAATTCCAAATAGCTTATGCGAAGTTCCCGATACCATTGAGAATACAATTTATTATTACTGCCGTTTGTAATCATTACACCGTGGATCTTTATGCATTAAGATATTTAAAAATTAATACTCGAAAATGGCAGGAAAAAGATACCACATGTTGGAGAATTATAAAATATAATTTTCACATAAATACATAACATTAAAACGCATCATTGTTTAAATAGGGTTAAAATATGAATTTGCATACTTGCGCAGTCCGATCGTAACGCGAATAAAATATCGTGCACCATTTCTATGCAATACGAATTTGAATTTAACTCGAATAAAAATTTTCGGATAACCTCTCGTTCGTTTCGTCAAATAATTCACGTTGCGAAAGGGCAAACTAATGGTCCACTCGAAAACTACTTTCATGTAGAAACGGTCCGTCGCGACGGTCTCTCGCGCGGTTAATCCGCAAGCCGCAAAAGATCGCTCGACCGTCCACAAGAAGTTGTATCGCGGATCGAAAAAGTACGATCTCTGCTGTGTAAAAATGATTGACCAATGGCATGGAGAAAGGTGAGCAGCGACTGACTAGTTCTAGGAGCTCGAGTGCTCCGGATTTTCTCCTCGCTGTATACGTTTATTGGCCCATCGAGTGCAGACAGTGTCGCGAAAGCAATTACACGAATGTCTGGCGACCAATCGTTCTTTTTAGTATCGTAATTATTATGTACACACACAAAAAAAAAACAGTCTTTAGCATTCATTAACATTTAGAACGTTATCTTATCCCATGAGTGCATACAATTTGCATTCTAATAATAAAAGTTTAGTATGGATACTCAAATAAAATTGAAAGCTTATTACATAGAAATATTCTAGAATTGAAATACTAATATTTCTCTTTCAATAAAAATTACTAAATGTACTTTAAAATATATCTTATATACTCTCGAAGTTAAGAAAATTTTACGTAAATTCTTCTCTGTAAAAAAAAAAAGTATCTCCATAAACATTTAATACTTGGCCTCTCGATGTGGTCTCCCCCCTTCAAGAATGAAGTCGAAGAAATTAATAGAGAACTTTGCGTCTCCATCTTGGCTTCTTACATTTTTCTAACGTTTTCCGCGTTAATAACAAATGTTACTTATCTCGTCCTCCGATAACCAGAATTTATTATGCTTTCAGACACGTTCCTTACTTCGGACCCCCCAGGCGATCAGATCTTCTTGGCGACTTTCCGCGTTACCGAAGGAGACTCGTTCGCCACGGAGCTGGCAGATCCCTCTACCGAAGCCTTTCGAATACGATCTCGGGAGTATCGCGATCGGTTGAATCTTATCTTTCGTCGCAGCTGGCTGAAGATCTCCTTCATTGCCGCGGAAGTTTTAGCACTCGATGGGTAAGTGCTCGGAAAATTAACGGCGACAGGATAAGAACGGTGGAATCACTCGCAGGAGATATACCGTTGAAAGTTGAGCTATCTCTTCTTCAAACGAATCGCGAGAGAAATCCCTTCGAGTCCACCGTCGACATTGAAACTGCTTTCTCGCGATTTCACGATACGTGTCCTTTTAACCGTGACACGGTCATTTGATTCGCTGTGGTTACTCGCGGGGAACATCTTCCAAGTGTCTCACGATTCCGATCGAACTTGGCGGGTTTCTAAAGCGGCCAAAAAATGAAAATGAGTTCTTAACTTGGGAAATTAAATTTCTTGGAATATTAAATCTTGATCTTTCTTTATTTTTTTTTTTTTTTTTTTTTTTTTTTATGGGTACTACCTCGCGCGTACTTGCACATCCAGGAATTTTAGAGATAACATTGAAACACTAAAACCTTGAAAAATAATTTTACCCCTGAATCTTGCAAATCTGCAAAATTTCATAAAAATTGGAACCATTCTTTGATTGTTGCTTGTCCTAAATCATCTATTTTCTCCGCTCTCATAAAACAGAAGCAACTTATTGATCGTTGCCTGTGCAGATTGGAGGCTGGAGACTTGGTCGTGCACTTCGACATACGTTTCGATCCACGGTTCCAAACCATCACGACCGCCGACGTAGTCGACATTCTCTCGCGGGAAATAAATCCCGAAACCTCTAAATACTTGACGAATCTGACGATAGACTCCGCGAGTCTGGAGGTTCAAGAGAGCATAAAAGCACTGAACGCTCAGGTCAGCTTGCAAACCACCGTTTCGACGCCACCGCCGACAACGGCTGCACCGCCTCCTAGAAGATGCAGCAACGTGGATCTCTCCTACTGCAAACACCTGCCTTACAACGTCACGTCTTATCCAAATATTCTCGGACACCGTTCCTTGGTCGACGTGGAAGAGGACGTCATCGCATTCAGGTTCGTGCTGGAATTTCTTGAACCTGACTTTTGAGTAAACAAAATTCAATGCAATTCTCTCCGATAAGCATTCTGTCAACGTTTTCAGCCAGACGATGCGTGCTTTACTTGGAACCAGATAAGTTTAGACAGATGCGAATGTTTACGTAGAATTATATTTTCACAGATACAGAAAAAGAAGTGTGCCTTATTTTCTAAACGGTGTAACGTGTATATTCATGTTTTATATATTTCTCCATTTTTGTACATTTTATTGAATCGATTCATATTTTCATTTGAAATACACGCTTGAACATCCGCAGGCTAGTAATCAGATACCGTTAACCAAAAATGAGTCCTGGATGAGGAATGTTCCAGATTAAAATTCCTTTATTAACAATTATTATTCATTTACTACTCGTTCATTACTTTACGCACAAAAATACGTGTCTAATATTTTTCAATACCTAAGAAATCAATTCTTATTGGACAATTTTGTCATTGAACGGAATGTAACAGGACTCGGTCCCGCAACCGACCACTCACGTTTACTCTTCTACAGAAAACTGATTACACATATGTATATGCGTTATAACATTGAAACGAATTCATTAAGAAATTCAACCCGGATGAGAACTTGTTTGACCAGGTTTACATTTCACGTACCTATGTTATTCGACAGGGAACTAGTGGACGCGGAATGTTACCGATTGGCCTACGATTTTGTGTGCCAAGTTCTGCAGCCGGCGTGCGCGCCAAGTCAACCGGAAGACCTGCTGCAGTTACCGTGCCGAAGCTTCTGTCGAGAATTCTGGAACGGATGCGGCAGCCGACTTCCGGATAGAATCAAGAGGTTGTTGGACTGCTCTCATTTCCCTGAGTACGCGGACCAAGGTGGCTGCAGAGCGAAACCAGGTGAACAATCATTACTTTCCGCTAGAGATGGGCAAAGTATTTTTTGTCTACTCGAAAGAATATTTGATCAACGATCGGAAAATAATATCATTTAATGGATTCTTCTATTCTTCGATCAGATGTAAAGTCAACGCTTTCTAAAATCGTTAAAAATCCTTCGAGAAGGATTCTGATCATTCCATTCAAATTACTACTCCAAATACGGACCGATTTCGCGTGGAATGCTCCCATGACGAGCTATGCGGAAACGATAAATACTATTTGTATCCAGTCGTGGATGGTTCTGAGTTGTAATTAACGAGCAAACTTTGTCGTAGGATGCGTGCAGGCGCTTCAAGCGAATGCATTGTCGCCGAGGATTTGCGACGGCGTGATCGACTGCCCTGACCTTTCCGACGAGAAAAATTGCGCTTATTGTCGCGACGGTTATATGCACTGCGGCGTAGGCAGAACGTGCATTCCTCGAAGCAAGAGATGCGATGGAAAAATGGACTGTACGAACGGCAGCGACGAAAAGGATTGCCGTAAGTATGCCCGAGGGCTGGTTAAACTTGATTTTTTGCATAGCTGTCCCACACAATGATGAATGTAACCGCACTTATTGGCGATTTATTTGATATTTCTGTCAGGATTTAAAAAAATTCACACATTATAAAAAATGCACGAATAATGTGAACTATTTAAAAAAATAAATGTCATATAAGAGAAGCTTCCGAACCTGAAAATTCTGATTTAAATAAAACTTTGTGCGAATGTAATATTTTGAAAAATGTTATCACATTTTCACTGTACATCAACTTTGAAAGTGTTTATCGTATTTTTTTGAAATAATTCAGACTTAGCAATCAGGATTTTTAAAAACTCTCTGTTCTCACCTTTTACATTGTTCAGTGTCCTTGGCTCCAAGCCTTCGGTCCATGAAATCTCAACCATCGGACACTCCACACGCTGTGAAGTACAATAGCGAAGGTTTCGTGGTGTTCAATGAGAAAGGTACCGTTGGAAAGCTTTGCACCGCGAACTTAAACGCGACGCTGCCAGGAACTGAAATGGAAACCGTTCTTCAGACTGCTGCCAGCTCTTTGTGCAACTTATTGACGTACACGTGAGTATCGACTTTCCAGAGCAAACCAAAGCACGCAAATTACGTTATTTTAACATTACCTGCACAGAGGGGTTAAGTCCGTGGAAATAAGGATCGACGACGAGGAGGACGTGCAATATGTACACATGGAGGATCCGTCTGCCACGGAAATCACATTCGTCAGGGCACCCTGTCCTAGCAAAGAAGTTATGTACGTCCGTTGCTCCGAACTCGGTATGAGAAAACCTTGTGAGACTAAAATTTCCAATGTTTGCAATCTTTTAATTCGTTAATTACGATTTATGTTTAGAATGTGGCGTGCAATCTCTGCGCACGAAGGGCGGCACGCGGGGCCTCAGCAAGATGGCGGAGCCCGGCGACTGGCCCTGGCACGTGGCTCTGTTCAAAGAAGAGGTGCACGTATGCGATGCTACTTTAATCGCTGAAAATTGGTTGATCACCACAGCGTCCTGCTTTCAAGGGTGAGTTTCTGTATTTTCTGCATGTTAACTTAGTACTTAAACTTAGTTACTCCTGTTAATGAAATAAATCAAAAGTAAAGGAGTAAAGGAATAAAGAATTCTCTAACATTTGTACAGTGTGTGTATTATGAATATATGTATTTATTCCTCGTGATTTTAGTCAGTCCAAAGCAGAATGGTCCGCCAGAATGGGCACCGTTCGACTCTCGAGCACGTCGCCGTGGCAACAAGAACGCAGAATAGTTGGAATGACCAAATCACCCGTAGAAGGGAGCACTACCGTTTTATTGAAGTTGGATCGACCTTTGACCACGTTTTCCGATTTCGTCAGGCCAGTCTGCCTACCCTCGAGCGATGATCCACCCGCAAACGCGTCTCACTGCAACACTTTGGGATGGGCAAGAAATCGTAAGGGTTAATCGCTGAATTTCAAATTAATTCAACTATTAAAGTCGACTTCCGGCTTGCTAAATAGCGAACCGAGTCATTTTTAGGAACATTTCTTTTTCAGTTTCTTTCATATTTAGCCCACGTGAAAATGAACGACGAACTCATGGAGTTATTAATATTTATTATTGGGTTACTATTTTATTAATAGTAAAGAATGCAGTAACTACCAAAAAATATATAAAAGATTAAAATGTAAATGCGTATAATAATGTAGAATTGAAGTAAAAGCTTTATTACTTTATACATGCATAGAAAACACTAGCAAACAGATTTTTAATTAGGTCATTTGTTTTCGACAAAAAGTTGTTGAACATATAGATTTTTACGCGTCTCGGGTCACCAAGGCTTTGTTATATAAGAACATAATTATACATGTCGCTTCCGCGCGTGCAACATGCTGAATCGACCTTAAAGGGATCCTAGGTCGTAACAGCTTGCACAATCTCAACGGCGACGGCGACTTTCTCAAATCGAGACAAATATCCTTGTAGCTGGTATAAATAGCTACTAAGCGCGGAGATTAATGGAAAATACAATTTCTCGATGCAACTTTGTACATTATTTACAGAATCGCTCGGAAATCGAGAAAGACTGGGATTATTAACCCTTAAGACACCCCTGGTAAATAATAAACAGATGTTTCTTGTGCATTACGCAATATTTTTGGGACAAACAGCAATATTACAGTGTTTTGTTCTCAATCTGTTAGTAAACTCATTGATAAGGTTTATTTAGCATACTGTAAACCAGTACTTATTAGTCTAAAATTAGTTTTCCTTAACCCTAACTCTGGATATCTAAATCTGGTTTTATCTAAAGTTTCAAGTTGACTAACGATATTACAACTGTTATCTAATAATCGAGTTTGACGAGTGTCTTAACGAAACGATCACAGTTTTTACAAGAAATACGTAACTCGAATGAAACCTCTTACGAAGCAATTTTGTTTCATCAGGCGATCTGCTGCAGAGGGTACAGCTGAGGCGCAGCGCGATGGAGAAATGCGAAAATATTAGTATAGCGTCTGTGAATAGTATCTGCACGGAACCTGCCTATTCAACCGACGATTGCAACGTAAGTAGACTCTGAAAGACGTGCTCGGAATGTTTTAACACTTCCTTTAATGTTTAATAATATTTTCATAGAATTCTTAATACTACTTACATTGTATTTAAAATAGCACTATTCGGTACTTTAAAAAGTACTTTTTACTTTTTTATTTTTTAGAGACCAAAAATGTAACACATAAATTTTTCATTCTTACATGTTTCTATCCTTAAATTTGAGACTAAAATATTATTGTTCTCATTTTTTTTTATACATATATTAAATTTTCTACAGTATAGCTTTAAAGTGATCAAGTGGTAGCAGCACACAAGTAACATCATCTGATAGTATTTATTACCTTTCTCAGTAAGTGCGCGCGCCGGAAATGTGTAATTATTGTTTACTGTCTCCAGGAGGAAGAGGTTGCGGGAAGTCCTATGTTGTGTCTTCAGTCAGACGGTCGCAGATGGGCTCTGACTGGCGTTGGTAGCTGGCGAATAGCTTGCTCGAAAGTCGGCGTCGAGAGGCCACGACTTTACGATAAAGTTTCGTCGAATATCGATTGGATAAAGTCGACCATCGTGTGATTATTTTAGGCGAAACACTGTTTCGCGAATCTACTAAATCCACGACGATAAGTCGTCGGGCCGATCAGAACTGAGATCAAGATTGTGACACGGGCAATAGGATTTGCAATGTGTACGGTAGTGCCTCGCTTGGAGACGAAAAGTCGTGTCCACTGTTCGCCTTGAATCGAGGGTCGGTAAGGAATTTTATTTTGAGCCAAACACGCGTGAACTTTAAAGCAATGGACGTCATGTGCGTCATGCGTACGTTACATTAACGCTAATGTAACATAAATTTTTGTCGTCTTTTTCAATGTTGATGATAGTATCGTTAATGGGTAGACGTGTTCTCTTGCTGAGAAGGACTCTAAACACGACCTTATTCGAAGACATTTATACATATTTGAAACATATTCACATACATATTCAGAGACGTGTTACTGTATACTACAGAATAATTCGAATTAACTTAATTTTATGTTCATTCTCAGAGATGAAACGAAACAAAATACAAAGATTTTTCATTATTTCTTCACGAATTCCTCATGTATAAAAAACTTTTTGGCGATGTTGAGTCCAAACGCGATTTTATTCTGGAGTTTGTAGCGATTTTATTCGGGACTTTTATAAAATTATAACAGAAAAAGATCGTCATAATTTAAGTTCCATTAGAAGATGAAATTCAGCTAACATTAGTCGAAGAAAAGAAGAATAGTGGTGGAGATGACCTCGCGCCTCGTCGACGGGGAAGACGTTCAGTTCTTGAAGCGAGAGGACTACTGTATCATACTGTACTGTACCATGATCGTTTTTTATGCAATTGTGAATCATCGTACGGTTTCTCTGTTGATATTTTTCGGCGTAGAATACTCGCTCACGTGATCGTGAAGTATGCTAAACATTGTAAATTAGCGCCTCGAGCGCGTCTCGTTACCGTGGCATATAGCGTTTATTTTGATTCGCGCGAATCGAACGTAATGTAAAGTTTGCCGGACACTCATTGTTGTATCATTATTCGTATAATATATACATATATACATACGTTAGAGCGTTGTACAGAGAAGTGATTCATTAAAGCCTGAGCGACTGAGCATTGTAGTGATTTATTTCCGTGCGTTGCGGGGATGTCGATAAGCTATCGAGTTTACATGGTAATAAAATTAAGATACAAGGAACGAACTTTTTCTAGATCGATGCATTATTCTTCTTACAATGGGACCTCGATTGTCTTAAGGTATACAACTATGCTATTACAATTAACAGTACTCCGGTAAAATTTTCAATGTATTTTATTTTCAAGAAATCTACCAAAGGTGAAAATGACAAGTAGTCGATACATCGAGGACAACGATTTTATTCAAACGTAATCAAGCATTACGAAGAATAACATACATAAATAAATGTTTATTTAGGCTACGATATGGAATTTGATAAATGAATAATGGTGTTACTTTGCATAGATAACAAATTACTGAAATACAAATGGATAGATAATTGTGTTACATGGATGAATTATGATTCTACGCGACAACACTATTTTTGTATTCGATCATGTTCGCATTCACCATTATATAAGTAAAGATTAATTGCAAGTTCAGATTCACTCTACCACAGCGAACGTACATGATGGTGGCACATTGCGAATACTTACCTTCGGTGGTGTTGCGAAGGACGTACTGCGCAGAGTCCGGTAGGGATGGTGGGAGGTTTCGAGCAGGGTTACTTAATAAATGCTCAACACTTGGGTACAATTGCGTGCCAGCCGTTGGTTCGGCAAAATCTCTGGCACAACGTTCGATCAAGTGTAAACATCGCTGTGAATACGGAGCCGGCTCGTTGGAATCAAAGACATGGTAAGAATATTTTATACAAACTTCCACGGTCCGTTCATTTCGACCAACTCGCGCGCCTAACGTTACGTAATCGCGTGGCAGCATTCTTTCGCCGAGATCTCGAAGGGTGTTGTGTGTCAGGTTAACAGAAACCGTAACTCGACACTTTCATCTTCGTCGCGAGCACACTTTGAAACGATGTCTCTATTATTATTACCTCGACAACACGCGAGCAATCGGGCCACGGTAACCGCCCCTCTTACCGGGAAACCGCAGAATCCTAATACGTCATCCTTGATAGACACCGGTGACATTGTCACAGAGATGGGTAGAATTTTATTCGAACAGTAGACCACGAGCGGAAACTTTGCATGCGCGAAGAAACTCCGAGTAACTGTTACTCGGTTAATGTGAAACTTATCTCCATTATGTAATTGCGTTTGTAATTTTCTCGTATCTATTTATGCGTCCGACGAAACGTACACTCTAATCCGAGGAGGGGAGATGTTAGCAAACGAGCAAGAAAAAAAAAGGGAAAAAGGAATGTGCACGTGGTGGGCCAAATAAGCGTGAGAAGCCATAAATTCGTTACCGGTGCATTTAGAAAAAATGTCGAATGGAGAAGACTAATGGTTTGAAGAATACTATACCTGTAGGATCGTATTTTTTTCTTTAATGGAAATGCATATTTCGTTGGCATAGATTGAATCCTGTCGTTATTTTACATTAAAAAAGTATCAAAGTGGTAAAGAAATGATTAGTTCGCGAGATAGTTTAAATAATTTTCTGTAACGAAGAAGATGCTAAAAAATATTGACAATCCGCAATTACATGTAAAATAAAAACTCTTTTCACCGTTCTAACTCCAACCTTTTGTTAATTATTCGTTAGCAAAATGAACATTCTACCCATCTCTGTCTCGTAGACGGACAAGTCCCCCGTTTCTTTTCAATTATACAACGATCATGAACATTCGATCAGTCGCTGCTCCGATTGATTCGTTCTCCTCCATGCGTTACTAAACCGGTTCCCGTACGGGAATCGTCTGCGAAGGGATCGAAAGGAACGGATCTCTCGGACGTGGCGCGAATCGAGAACGTCCAGGATCATCCGATCGACCTGTTCAGGATATGGCACGACGAGGTACGAAGATACAAACCGAGGGAACCGGATGTCTGTTGCTTGGCGACTGTTTCAAAGTCGGTGCACGATCGATCGTTACTTTGAATGCACGGGCTGCTGGGACTCTAACGAAAGGACCTTTCTTTCAGAGACTGCGAGGTGTCCGCGAGGAACGTCGTTCTTCGAGAGTTCGATAACGACGGCTTTGTCATCGTGACGGACAGCCGTAGCAAGAAATCCGATAATATAGTAAGATAACAATGAAGACCTCTGTTTGTCGATCTTAACACAGGCGTCGTTTAGTGTAAAACGTACACGTTTCCTGGTTTTGAGTCATCTTCACGTTTACGATTATTAAAATAACGATCTGTTATTTACACGCTTCGGTGTATATAGCGTATGGTGAGCAGTTTTTCCAAGTAAAGACCACGTCAGTGTAAAACTTTTTTTTAGATGAATATATTTCAAGCATTTTTTTTTTAACTGTACATGCAACGAAATAGATCACCATTATCAATATTATAAAATAAACAGAAAGACTTTGCATTTCAAAAGACTCTTTCACTGTCAGCTTCCACTGTTTCAGGAAAACGTCCCTCAGGTGGCCATGTGTTACCTGTGGTGTCACGTGAACGACAAGGAGCAGAATATCGCCAGACAGGTGAGTTATAAACTCGAATGTCTATCGATCGTTCGTAACGCTCTGCAACTGGTGCCGTAGGTCAGGGTGGAAGGGACCATGAAGAGGTTGGAGCAGGGAGATTTCCAGCATTTGTACAACAGGGAGCCGTTGTTCTGTAAAATTCGTTCACACTTGTGCCATCAAGGACGAGAAGTGAATTGGGAGGAGCACAAGCAACGACACGACGAGATATTGGATTCAGTTCGAAGAAACGAAACCACTTTACCGATGCCGGATCATTTGTACGTGAATTTCAATTGCAACGACGACGAAATGAATTCGAATTGACCGGATTTAAATAATATTTCAGCGTTGGCTACAAGTTATACCCGACGATGATGGAATTTTATTATGCGAGGGATCACCTTATAGGCGATCGAATAATGTACCGGAAGGATGAGTCGAATGGTTCGTGGGAACATCATCGCATAGCTGCATAGGGTACACTGTACACGTACACGATCAATAATAAAGGTCTTCCAAAAATTTTATTCGTTCCTTAAGGGGGGTTTCTGCTTTGTTTGGTCAGAAAACAAGTAATATTCTTTACGGGCATGTGAAACAAAAATGACGGCGAGGATCGTCTGAAACACAACATTCTAAAAGATTCATAATCTACATGACTGTGTTTATTTTTAAAAATATGTGAAAGTAGAAACGTGAAAGTAGCTTTTAGTGTGGTCGAACACTCATTGTTTTCTGATCAGATATAGACAGAATTTTATTCGAATACCAGAAAGCGTATGAACACTGTGTATACTGCCTTATTCGTTAAGTTTATTCGAATGAATTGTTAGTGGCCTAACGTCGAACGAAAGTTGATTGTACATATAATTCAAGTTGTAATTTTGTATCGAAGAAGAAAACACATTACAAGTTTATATTTTATCCGTTATTCGCTACTTTGGTGTAGATGGGCATTTTGCCATCCGAGCCATATACAAATAAAAGCAGTTTCAACTGTTTCTTTATTTTATTAATACAACATCAAAGTCAAGTTTTCTATAATAATCAAAGTCACCGATTCAATGAACAGTAACCCTGCACAGCACCTCCCCACTGGCAGCTCCAATTTTGGGTATATCTTAGGGACTATCCCCTCCATTTGTTCGGACCATGTGTAAAAGGAGATTCTCATGTAGCAATCGAGGTTCCACCGTTCTCTAATGTTTTACATTTCCGTTCGACTGTATAATAAATTGTATTAGGTTGTCCAGAAAGTTCGTGGCAATTTTTAAGAAAACTTCAAAGGCACATTTGAATTGTAACGTATATTTATTGAATTACATAGGTACCATTTCGTTCCACAAACTTTCCACCTTTTAAGGGATGTACATATACATACATATGTATATGTTATTTGTTTTCAGTCATTTCGATATATTCAGACCTGCACTACCTATCAAAAATCAGCATGGACTTTCCAGACAACCCAATAAAAGAAAGGTTAGTCACAACAAGACCCCGATAGAATAAACAAAAATTAGTACTTAGGTGCGATACTTCCTCGATTGTCAACGTACCACACTGTGCGAGTAGAGCGGAATTCAAACTCGACGAGTAACGTGAAATGGCGCGCATTCGACCAATGATATTCAATCCATGGAGCCACTGTGAGCCACGGGATCTGCGCAAAACTCTTCCGCGCACAGAGGCCTAACCATTGGCTCTAACTATCCGTATCCGTGACGTAGTGCGCAGGGCATCACGCGCAGCCTCGTGGGAGCCTCAGGGAACCGAATGTCGATGCATAAAGCGTGTTCTCGACCACGGTGTTAGCAGTGTCTGCCGGGTCGAGAGTGCGATCGAATCGTGGACCACCGTAAATCATTGAGAAAATGAACGACCACGCGACCGTGGTTCGTGGTTCCGCGAAAATCGCCTACCTCGTGCTCGAGGATGGCTCGGTTTTCCCGGGAAAATACTTTGGCGCGGAAAAACCGGTTGACGGTGAAGTCGGTAAGTGTTGGAAAACACGTGGTCGTCATTTTGGAGCGGACATACGCGGCCGTGCACGGCTCTCTTTAATAACAGAGCCGATAGTCGCGTTCCTCCAAACTTCGACGTTACGATTCTCGGCATCCGGTTCGATGAACCGAGACACACCGTGCGCCGAGACGCTGATCGAGTCCCACGCGATTATAACGATTCGTGACTTCCATGTACCTACATACCTCGCATGCGTACCCACAGTGCGAAAAGCACGAAAGCGAAAGTGGTGACGATTCTGTCCGATTAGTATATAACAAAATAAACCGCATATACAGCAATTGTAATACTGCACGGTACTTAGAATTGGCTTGTACAGCAATTTATTCGGAGCATTCACTCGATCGGACAGCTCCGTTTTTAGTTTCTTGTTTTTTTTTTTTTTTTTTTTTTTAATAATTAATTCCATTATACGAATTCTAATTTTTATTTAACGGAGTAACTGAACTTACTCATTTTTCTTACCTTTCTACCGTCTGACATTTAGATCTATACAACGCAGGAATTTCACCTATGTCGGGATGGAAGTGTGTGCCGCTGGCAGGCCATCAACCGGCCACGTGGGTTTGATGTACGCTTATTTGCCGATTAGCGACTATTACGAGAGGCTCGTTTGATGCGTCTGCCAACGGTTCAGCAAGTCGATCTTGATATGATGTTGCACTTGTTAGCGATAAAGAACAATTTATTTAGAAATAATTAATTGCGATGAACGAATAAATGATAAGCTGTTTGTCACTCGTTGATCGTGGAATGAAAAATTGGAGTTTGATTTACAGGATGAAATTTTTCTCGACGAGAAAGTACTAGAAAATTTAAGAGATTCGTTTGATATATTTTGGAAATAATTGCGAAGTAAATGATACTTTTCCGGCCTTGGAGCGAAAAACCGGGTTACATGACAGTCGAATAATTAGGATGATAAGAGTAGAGTAATGCAATTTTACAATTCAGATTGATAGCTTTCATTGAACGAACGACGACCAGAGGTAGTTTACCTCTTTTATTATTACTGAAAATTTTTATCTGCACAATAGTCTTCCCGCTCTCTGCTCCGCAGGAAGACATAGATATCCGTGTCGTTGACAACTGCGTTTGGTTACACTCCGCGGGTTATCTTTGTGTTTGTATTTGTATACAATAGACATCGCTCGACATCAACGGAACGTTTTCGAAGCTCGTAGAAAGATTACTAGACCTTTTTTTTCTTGTTTCTAAAAATAATGCAACACTTATCGTCAATTCAACCCAGTCTTATTATTCTTCTTAATCGCATTAAGTCTTTCTGGTTCGCAGACTACAATAAAAAAAAAACGATTCCAGTATTTTTTTTCTGCTAATAGTACTATTCAGAAAGAGAATAGTAAAATCGAAAATAACTCAAATCTCCTCCGAAATTTCAACGATACATTCTTAAACATATTTACTACCGAAAAATGAAGAAGAAAAAAATTGTTTTTTTTTCGGAAATGTCACATCGAAAAGACTCCTTAAGAATCTTATAAAATAATTAAAATCGTTAATCAGTTTGATCCATTTATCGACTCGCCGCGTGAAAATCGAGACGATAAACGGATTATTGAATAAGTTATCGTTTTCGAGTTCGGAGCAGGTTCTTGTTTCGTGAAATCGCCAGTTGCTCGACGTCTAGCTTTCGATCGGACACAAACTCGATCGACCCGTTTCAGCGCCGTCGGATTTCCTTCGTATTTATGTTTTGGAAATTACGTAGAGCACGAACGGGCATTGTATACGTAACGAGTACATGCTGTTCCCACTGATGCATTTTTTACAGTGTTCCAGACCGGTATGGTGGGTTACCCGGAGTCGCTCACAGATCCTTCCTACCACGCTCAAATTCTAGTACTCACGTATCCGCTGATCGGAAATTATGGCGTGTTCGATGACGAACTGGACGAGCACAAAATACCATAGTAAGGCTCCAAAGCGTTCGGCTATTAAACTGGAAATTTCGCGACATCGCTAAAGTCACAGTGACAAATTGCATGGTTATCTGATCGATCATTCCTGAGACATCCAGCAAAACAGATTCTAACATATGAACTATTCGTTGCACAAATCGATTAACTCCATGAAACAAAAAGTTGAGAAATGCGATGAAATAATGTACATTGTTTTTTTTTAAATTTTCCTTTATAATATAAATTCAAATAAACATCGTGGAAATATAATATCGTTAATCTTTGTTATTCAGAAAAGTGATTATAAATATAAAAAGATACGACTGTACCAAGTGCTTTGACACTGAAAATTACCGAGTCCGCCGTCAAATCGAATTTCTTGTCAAGTATCTATAACTTTATCTCGTTCGTGGATTAAAGCAATCAGTTTTATAAATATTTAACGGTACTCTGTAATAGATAAGTGCGTTGCTATTTCTCGTTCGATACTTCGGATCCCGAAGCACTTTTTTTTTTACTCTAATCGCATCACTCCGACGATATGATTTCCCTTTTTGATTTTTTTACAGTTGGTTCGAATCCCACCGGATATGGGCAGCAGGTCTAGTGGTCGGCGAAATATGCGAAAATCCGAGTCACTGGCGACAAACGAAAACGTTATCTGAGTGGATGAAGATACAAAACATTCCTGGTATATACGAAATCGATACCAGAGCCCTGACGAAAATTATTCGCGAAAACGGCACTATATTGGGGAGAATCGTGTTCGAATCTCCGCAAATAAATCACCTGTCACCCCTAGTTCCTCCGATAGAGGATCCCAACAAGAGAAATCTCGTGGCAGAAGTTGCTCAGGTGAGTTGCCACCTTCTCCTTCATTTCCGCAGCCTAATTAATTCCACAGAAATTTTTACTCGTACATTTTCTACAAAACATCAAAACACAAACTTACGGGATGACCTAATCTCTATGCTAAAAAATACCGACATCGATCCATCGTATTTCAGCCTAATCAAAGAACGTACAACCCTAGCGGTCACCCTCGTATATGCGTGGTGGACTGCGGCCTGAAGTACAATCAATTAAGGTGTCTGATTAGCCGAGGTGCTCGCGTAGACGTGGTGCCATGGGATTACGACTTCAGCGAAGCCGAGTACGACGGCCTGTTCCTCAGCAACGGGCCAGGCGATCCCAGCATGTGCGAAACGACGGTGAAAAATATTCGCGCCGCCTTGGAATCACGGAAGGGAAAACCGATTTTCGGTATATGTCTGGGACACCAGTTGCTCTGCATCGCTGCCGGTTGCGTTACATATAAGATGAAGTACGTAACGTACTGCCACGTGTTGCTTTCATTATAGATCGTCGAGCTCTGGACGGCATTGTTCTCAAGCTTGTTTCAGAGCATTGTACTTTGTATACCGTGACGAGCAAAGCTGAGCATACTTCATGAATTTTTCTAGAAATAATAATTGCTGATTTCATGCTTCTATGGGATATATTAATACGAAAAATCTTCGCGAAACGTACTTGGATGGATTGTTTATAAATCGTTATAATTTTAGTGATATTTTATTTCGTCTAATTATGATACATTTCATTAACCATTCGTTGCAATCATTCCAAAGTTTCCAAGAAAACATCTCGTCACAGTTTAAACGTCCTGTATAGTATTTCATTATACTTCCAGTACAATATTAAGATTCCAAGATTACGTGATCACGTTCACGCAGAGTGTCCAATTTTGCTAATCACTATACGCTGATGCACAGCTACGGAAATCGTGGTCACAATCAACCCGTCACACATCACGGAACTGGCCGCTGTTATATGACGTCCCAGAACCACGGATTCACGGTCGACGCTAGTCAACTGCCAGCTAATTGGGAAGCCCTCTTCACCAACACCAACGACAATAGCAACGAGGGGGTGGTGCACTCCAGCCTGCCGTATTTCTCTGTTCAGTTTCACCCGGAGCACACTGCTGGTCCCGAAGACTTGGAATGTCTATTCGACGTGTTCCTAGACGCCGTGAAAGACGACGCCAGCGGAAAACCCGGGATGTCCATCAAGGAAAGGCTGAATCAGAAGTTGGCCTTCCACGTCAACAACCCTGACGTCGCTGTTCGGCCGAAGAAGGTGCTGATTTTGGGATCTGGCGGCCTCAGCATCGGCCAAGCTGGGGAGTTCGACTACTCGGGCTCGCAAGCTATCAAAGCACTGAGGGAAGAATGCATACAGACGCTTCTGATCAATCCCAATATCGCCACTGTTCAAACGTCCAAAGGCATGGCTGACAAAGTTTACTTCTTGCCCATCATACCCGAATACGTGGAACAGGTAAGAAAGGGTGGAAAGAAAGATGAAGGAAAGCAAGATACAGAATATAGAATAGATACAGTGCAGAGAGTATCTACGGTTTTTTTTTTTTTGCACTATATCTATCAGGCGGATCGAAAAGTAATGTCGTTTCTGCGAATCTCGATACTTCTTTAACGATTTGAAATCGAATTTGCACGCTAGATGCCAAAAGACTGTTGCTAACGAGGGTGATCAATTAAAAATAAAAAAGATATTATAAATTTATTTGTTTGAATTTAAATGCAAAAGAAACGACATTACTTTCTGGTCTTCTAATATTCTAGAGATACTCGAGGACATGTTTCTATTAGACTATTTATCCACATTATATCTACGTGATTTTTATTCCAGGTGATACAGTCGGAGCGTCCCGACGGCGTGCTCTTGACTTTCGGCGGACAGACTGCCCTCAACTGTGGCGTCGAGTTAGAAAGGAGTGGAGTGTTCCAGAAGTATAACGTGAAAATCTTGGGAACACCTATACAGTCGATCATAGAAACCGAGGACAGGAAAATCTTTGCGGAGAAGATCAGCGAGATCGACGGGAAGGTCGCGCCAAGTGCCGCGGTCTATTCCATTCAAGAGGTGAAGAAAAATTAAATTTTGATTCGCTAAAATTCGATCCACTTGCTAAATATATCATCCATATCGAGTTCCGTTGATTAAAGAAGATGTACACACTTGATCGAACTTTTTATTATTCTAATTTCGCGTTCATCTATTTGTAGGCATTGGACGCAGCCGAGATGCTGGGTTATCCCGTGATGGCGAGAGCTGCGTTCTCCCTGGGAGGATTAGGATCAGGGTTCGCGAATACGAAGGAAGAGTTGAAGATCTTGGCACAGCAGGCTTTCGCCCATTCGAATCAGTTGATCATCGACAAGTCGCTGAAGGGTTGGAAGGAAGTCGAATACGAGGTTGTCCGCGACGCTTATGACAACTGCATCACTGTCTGCAACATGGAGAACGTCGATCCTCTCGGCATCCACACTGGCGAATCGATCGTCGTCGCACCAAGTCAAACTTTGTCGAATAGGGAGTATAACATGCTCAGGACGACGGCTACAAACGTCATCAGGCATTTCGGCATCGTTGGAGAATGCAACATCCAGTACGCGTTGAACCCAACCTCTGAGGAGTACTACATCATCGAAGTGAACGCAAGATTGTCGAGGAGTTCGGCTCTAGCCAGCAAAGCCACAGGTTATCCTCTGGCTTACGTTGCTGCCAAGTTGGCGCTTGGTATCCCCTTACCGGATATCAATAATTCCGTCACGGGGGAAACAACGGCGTGCTTCGAGCCTAGTCTCGACTATTGCGTTGTCAAAATCCCGAGATGGGATCTTGGCAAGTTTCATCGGGTGAGCACGAAGGTAAGGCAGTCTCAGAAAAGATTAGTTTTAGGATCGATACGCTTTATTATTTTCATTTTAAGAGTTCGTCTGTTGAATTTCTCAATAGAAAGTAAAAGATTTCATTTAAAAAATCAAAGTCAAAGGGTTAATCAGCAGATCCTCGTTGATTTCAGATCGGTAGCTCTATGAAGAGCGTAGGAGAAGCGATGGCGATCGGACGCAAGTTCGAGGAAGCCTTCCAGAAGGCCCTGAGAATGGTCGACGAGAATATAAACGGGTTTGATCCTTACATGAAAGATCCCAACGACGAGGAATTAGAAAAACCGACTGACAAGAGGATGTTCGTCCTCGCTGCTTCGATAAAAGCTGGATACACGATCGATCGATTGTACGAATTGACGAAGATTGATCGATGGTTTCTCCACAAGATGAAGAATATTATCGACTACTATTTGGTGTTGGAGAACGTGGACCACACGAAATTGTCGCACGATGTCCTACTGAGAGCGAAGCAAATCGGATTTTCGGACAAGCAAATCGCCGCTGTGGTCAAAAGCTCGGAACTGGCCGTTAGGATACAAAGACAAGAGAGCAATATACGACCGTTGGTGAAGCAAATAGACACGGTGGCTGCTGAGTGGCCGGCCACGACTAATTACCTTTATTTAACGTACAATGGCAATACACACGACGTGGAATTCCCTGGCGGATACATGATGGTGATCGGTAATAATATTTCTCTTACTTTTATCATAATTTAAAAAATTATTTGAGGCCGCTCGTATGAATACATTAATTTTATTATTAATGCAGGACATTTTATAAAGATAAAATAAATATTATTTCTTGCAGGTTCCGGGGTGTATCGTATCGGTAGTTCAGTGGAATTCGATTGGTGCGCCGTGAGTTGCCTGCGCGAGCTACGAAACTTGGGACGAAAGACTATCATGGTCAACTATAATCCTGAAACAGTCAGCACTGATTACGACATGAGCGATCGACTGTACTTTGAGGAAATCTCATTCGAAGTCGTGATGGACATCTACGACCAAGAATGTCCAGAGGGAATTATCTTATCCATGGGCGGTCAGTTGCCGAACAACATCGCTATGGATCTTCACAGACAACAAGCCAGGATCCTTGGGACGTCGCCCGAATCCGTCGATGGTGCTGAGAATCGTTTCAAATTTTCCCGCATGTTGGATGGCATTGGAATTTCACAGCCTAGGTAAGACTAAAATTTGTGGGAGGAACTTGGCTCCCACTGGGGTAATTATTCAAAGCTTGCCAATAACATTGACTCGAGTAAAATTTTAGAGACTCTACCTGTAGAGTACTCAATTTTGATCTTCATCGTTTATCTCTGCTATTTGGACTATTTTTAACGAGTCGCGAAGCATCAGATTGATTCAGTAACTGCAACTCGTCGGCATCGTCAACCCTTCGCAGTCTTGTATCGAATTTGACTCAACAAAAATGGATTTAAATACAAAAATTTGAACTGCAAAATGTTAAGGATGAAATATCGTTGGCTAGGTGGAAGGAACTGACCAATCTGAAATCCGCCATCGAGTTCTGCGAGGAAGTCGGTTACCCCTGTTTAGTGCGTCCTTCCTACGTGTTAAGTGGCGCCGCGATGAACGTGGCGCACTCGAACCACGATCTTGAGTCGTATTTGAAGAGCGCCAGTGAAGTAAACAAAGAGCATCCCGTGGTTATATCGAAGTTTATCCTCGAGGCGAAGGAAATAGACGTCGACGCAATCGCCTACGATGGAGTTATACTTTGCATGGCGGTGTCAGAACACGTGGAGAACGCTGGTGTTCATTCAGGCGACGCCACCCTCGTCACCCCGCCGCAGGACATCAATGCCGAGACTTTGACGAAAATAAAAATCATTTCCAAAGCTGTTGCTGCCTCGCTCTGCGTGACGGGTCCCTTCAACATGCAGCTGATCGCTAAGGTACTAAAAAAAACTATAAGGAATACTTCTGAGTAATGTTCATTAGGTCGGAGCGAAAACATCAACTTTTGCAAGTCAAATTAAATCGAATCAATCCCTAGTTTATTCTGAGAAACGAATTTCGGTGACAAGCATGTTCGAAGAGACACCTTATGAAGATCATTTTACTTCAAGCACCCGCAGGACTTAATCTATGTATATCTTTTGATTATTTTCTCCCTCGATAGGACAATGAGCTGAAAGTCATCGAATGCAACGTCAGGGTATCCAGATCCTTTCCTTTCGTTTCGAAGACCTTGGATCACGATTTCGTAGCCATGGCCACGCGATTGATCGTTGGAGAGCCTGTCGAGCCTGTCGACGTCCTTGCTGGATGTGGCAAAGTCGGCGTTAAAGTCCCCCAATTCTCTTTCTCGCGTCTTGCTGGTAAGAATTTATGAACTGATGTTTGAGAAGATTAAGAATTAAGATAGTAAAAGAATGTATAAATACTGATTATTATCAACTGTTAAACTATCTCTAAACTCCAAGTACCAAAGTGGCAATTTACGATGCCTCGCTTGAATTTCCACAGGAGCCGACGTGATGCTTGGTGTCGAGATGGTTTCCACCGGAGAGGTCGCTTGTTTTGGAGACAACCGATACGAAGCATACTTGAAGGGAATGATGAGCACAGGCTTTCATATACCTCAGAAGGGTATCCTGCTCTCTGTCGGCAGCTTCAAGGTAAGATTTTCGCCATTTTGAACGACTTCGCGTCATCTGACCGATCCTTTCATCGAAACTGTTTCTGTTGCAGCATAAAATGGAACTGCTACCGTCCATTCGCAGCCTTCGCAAAATGGGATACAAGTTGTACGCCAGCATGGGCACCGCTGACTTCTACACCGAGCACGGGGTCGAGGTAAGTGAGAGTGAAACTTTTACTAGTCGATCTGGTCTCTTGTAAACGTAAACTATATTTAAATATTTACACACGGGCTACAGTCGAATGTCAAGCATGATAACTAAACGATCTGCCTAGAATTATCTTCGTTAAAAATGCACTTCGCTGGTTTTCGGAGTGAGAAACGCGTTCAGTCTTTTTCGAGTATAAATAATGTTAAAAAATACTAGTAGAGTACTAGGTCGGTGGTCCTAACGCTTGCAGTTTATTAGCGGATGACTGTGCAGGATTGAACAACAGAACTAAATGGTCGATAAAGATACTCGAGGCCTTCATGGTCCGGTTGTTCATGGTTGATACTAACTGATACCGATGAGATCAAACGACATTAATCGAGTCGACACTGTCAATTCGTGTCAACGTGTCGTTTGATCCTTGAAGATTTTAACGGTAGCCAAATAGCATGGCTTACATCCGAAAGCCTCAGTTGATATCAATCATAAATGGTCCATGTTTCCCGAAGGGATTCCAAGAAACTGACGTCGAAGCTTCCACGCTCTCAAATATACGTGGAATCATCAGATACAGATGATATCGTCACGACTGCCTCAGATTGGTCAGGTTCTGGCTTTGAAGTTGATGTTTTTTTTGCTGGGTGTGTCTTCAGTGTCGAAGTCGATGGTGTCTTGTTTTGTGTGGGTTCCAAAGTCTCTTTTAGGTCCTGGTAGTGTGATTCGTGAACTGTAGTCTGAGTGATAGTCTGAGCCTGATCTATACTTTCCGACTGCTTCTTCGGATGACCGTGATCTATACTCTCCGACTGCTTCTTCGATTTTTCAGCTCGCGTCTCTAGCGGAGTCGAAGTTTCTTCAAGAGATTCTTTAGCGAAACGCTCCTTTAATGGAGCCACGTATATGGCTGTTTCTAAGTTTCTCTTAGGCGTCTCTGGTGGATCGTCTTTTGACTTCGAGTTGGCGACCTTCTTTCTAAGGACTTTAATCTTGTCGCGATAAGCTCTTGCGTCACTTTTGTGTCTGAGTTCCTCGGAGAGGAGAATGGAGAGTCGGTCGGCGTGGTCGAGGTATAGGGTCTTCTGTTGATAATCCGCGTACTTGTTGTACCGTTCGGCTATCTTGATGAAATGTCGTATGAAGAAATCCAATAGAACGTACAACCTTGGACCCTCCAGCTCTGCGCAGCGCATCTGAAAACATTAAAAACATAGTTCACCGTCTCCCTTCGTAATCGCTAATGTATCACCGATAAGATTAGAACGATTCATTTAATTATAATCTTTATCAATAGCTATTGAGTAAGGTGATCGAGTCGACTCGCGAAGGAAAAGAAACGGTTGATGAAGTCATTGCGCGGAAATTCGCAGAACTTAACTACTGAACGAGTTCTCTCGTGTCACCGAGCTAAGTGAACATTTCTTTAACTTTATCGCTTATTAGGGAAGAAAATATACTGAGATATGTCAAGACTATCAATTACTCTTATAGAAATTTAACAATAGATGATCTTACTGAATTCTTTCTTTGCCATTAATTTACTAGTCATTGTCGATATTAAACATCTTTTTAAGTATCTTGTGTGAGCATTGCCCTATATTAAAACCAATGTATACACGTGTACTTGTTTATTATACGATAAAATATTTTCTTTTATAATCATCGTAATGAATAATAGATAGCAAGTTGCTTATCTTTTATTCGTTAACACCTTGATCGCCACGTCACCCATATATGTTCACTGAAGAACAAACGAAATAAATTTGAATGAAATTCCTAAACTTCAATAAAGTTATAAAAATGAATACCACAATACATGTTTGATTACGCAGTTTCCAATAGTTTGGAAACAAAGCTCAGTCACGATAGAAATTTTCAAAAGGATTAATCTGACAGTCAACGCGTTAATCAAAATTGTTATCAAGTAAAGAATTTTGTCTATATCGAGGTATATAGTCATCGGATGACATCAATCATAGCGCAAAACGAAACTCACCGAGATTTCAATGATGGAGTCCGTTGCTTTTCGAGGATTAATCAGCGTTTTATCGGTGACGAATCGAACGGACCGTTTCTTCGGTTGATTCTTAACGTTGTCCCAAAATCCTTTTTTGCTGTATTTATCTTCCTCCGGTGAGCGATCCTTGCTAGGCTGAGGCATCGGTTTCCCGGCGTACTTCGCCAGTGCGGGATTGATCAGCGTCAGCGTGTCCGCCGTCAATATTCTCAACAACATATCGTAGTCAAGCCTCGGGAAAAAGTTTTCGCTGTATCGAATGTTCTCCATGGCGTGAAAAACATACATAATCGGATTCTCGGTGATTCTCTTGAGTTGCTTCTGCGTGTGCAATAGGTGGTCGTTGGGCACGCGTTGAAAGAGATTCCTGTCCCTGACGAAGTAATCCCTAAGAGTGGGTTCATTCTGGCTGATACAATGGTACATGGAGTCTAGCAACGACAATAAGCACTCGCCCATTCTGTTGTACGGCCATTTGGACGGTCTGTCGTTTTCCTCGATCATCCAGAACAGCTTGTGCCTGATGTGAGCGGTCGTTAAACCGAACATCGTATCGAAGACTGGCCTGAGGAAGGACTTGTGGAGCATCAAAGCTATTAGATATACTTGCACTTGGCTCTTGGTCATGCAGGTTTCGAGGTATCGTTCACCCGTGGGGAACGTGAGCTGCCATTCGAGGTCCTCGATGATATTGCTGCTACCTCTCTTCGGCACGAAACCCTCCGGCGTCACGTAGCATCCGCAGTCTTTGATCTTTTCTACGTCGTTGTAGTCAGGCCACGTGCTCCTCGGTCTGTCCAGCCATTCTTGGGCACAGATGGGCCACTGCAACCAAACCGCGGGTATAATCTCGTATTGTTCTACGCGACTGTACTTGAACGCATCGTCGGAGACCATGATCTTGTCGCAGTAGAGGACGCATCCCTCGCGTCTGACGTCCTCTATGCATTCCTGGTCGAAGCCAAAGCAGTCGGCCAATCTGTACGTAAAGACGTTTATGAAATGCTTCATGAACGCGGTGCTGCTAACGTAGAACAAATTGTAATTGTGTCGATTCAGGGCTTGCTTGATCCTACGCTGCTTGCTGTTCATCAGCTGTTTCTTCTCATCCTTCGGATCGTAGATTCTCCCGTCAGTCGTGTATGTCACTCGCTTGAAGCAACGTCCGGGAAGCTCTGCGCTCGTTATGTACCTCTCGTCTACTTCTTCGCTGTTGGAACTTTGCTTGCGTCTGGAGGACTGGCTGCGATTGCAGCTGCTGTCGCTGTCCATCCCGTAAGTGTCGGACTTGTACCCAGAACTGACGCTGCTGATGAGACTCTGGCTGGCGGACCTCAGGGGTTTCGTTTTCGACGATTGTCGTTGGCGGTCCTGTTCCACCGCGGGTAAATCTAGCTTGGTCCAGATTTTCTTGTTTCGAAGCCTCGATTCCTCGGTCGAGGAACCGTTCTCGGAATCGTTCTCGTTTTGCAGGTCGCGATTGGAACGAGACAGAGCTCCCGCGGATAGGGCTTCGACTTCGTCCCGTAGATTCGGCAGAGACTTTGTGAACGCAGGATTGGAACGTCTGGACAAGCTTTGCTTGGGTCTTCTAAAGAGTATGTTCGAACGACTTTTCGGACCATAAACGCTGTCCCCGTCGCTGTAAAGTTCGTCGTCGTCCTCGGCTATCGATGAGAGGTCTCCGTTGTCCTTTTGTGTTGTAAATTCCTCGAGAAGCTGCAGTTGAACGTATCCTGGCGACAGAAGGACGTTTCGTGAAAAGGATTTGCGATTTAACACGTTTACTGCCGCGCTAATACTCTTGATAATTTCGGGAGTACGATTTCTTATTCGGAGATAATTGACGATAAATATTTGTTTTATCGGTATATAGGATTATTGGTTCAATCATAAAAAACATTGATCCATCGGAAGCATTTGGCAAACACTATTGCTTAAATACAGGAAGCTCCGAAGGACAGACAAATCCGTAATCCGTTGATACGGAGAGAGTATCACGGATATCATTCAAATATTTGATAATACGTGCAGTACCGAGAGTCAGTATCGATACTTTAATCGAGATTCTGGCAAGATTATTAGCAATTACGGAAACAAGATTTTTATGGAACAAGATTTCTAATGAGATAGGGCAATATCTGTAACAACTTGAGAGACAAGATTTGGGATAACTTTGGGGACAAAATTATTGACAACTGAGAGGATGACATTTGAAATAAATTGAGAAGTGAGAGTTTTAACAACTGGAGGAACAAGACTTGTAACAACTTGAAGAATATTCCTATCGTATTATCGCGTCCCCCATACCCAAGAATTAGAAGTGAAACGAGAACACGAATCGTAGGGCTCGGGATTGGTCGTGTAGGAAAAGGACTGTGGATCGGAGGATTGTGTCCACTATTTTCTGTTGTAATTTGCGTTACCTACCCTGATGCTCCGTTGGCTTCAGCAATATATTGTACATGGTCGAATCGTTTAAGCTGCTATAGTACGGCGAGTATGTCTGCTCCGTAATGTCGATGTTATCGTGTACCGTGTAGATTCGCACGGGTTGAAGCGGTTCGACAGTGGGACGAAAAGTTTGCCTGGACGAAGTGAAGCCTACGTTCTGGGCTATGTGCTCCTGGAGGACGTCAGGTAACAAAACATGCTTCTGCGGCGGCAAACATTTGCTCAGCTCGGCCTCCCGCGACGACACCATCGTTTCTTTCACATGCTTGATCTCTCTGAAAAACTCTAGGCTTTAACATTTTACCTACTGGTCCAGGAAACGCAAATTAACAAAAATAATTTGGAAGAAAGAAATTCAGATTGGTCGGATGGTATGGGATAAAAAGAAGATACGATCGAAGAAGAAGGTTTCGTAATTACCGTTTCAAATTTAATTTCACGATATGATGTACGATAAAATGTGATCGAATAGGAAAGAAATAAAATGGGGAATGATAAGAATCGTGAAAAATGAAAAACTAGTAGCATGTTAGAAGAGATATTGGTTTCGAAAGACCATATATCAGGTAAGATAGAGTTGAAATTCTAGAAGGGCAGATAATAAACTAGAGCTTGAACTTTGAAAGATCGTATCATTTCTGATTTGCGTAGATAAATTAAAAGCAATGATTTACACTCTTATGAAGTGTCGAACACTATTGGCATTGTTCAAACTGTGTATACGTCAAGGAAAACACGTCTTCTTTTTCTCGCGTCACCTCAATTATTTAAATTTTAAAATAACGGTTTAAAACATCGTTTTTTTAACGCCGGCAATTTCAAGAAAAGCCGAAGAGAAGAATACAGTTTTTAAACGACCAGGGTAGAAGACCTCGGTAAATAATAGTTCATAATAAAATCTTGATAAACCCATTTAAACAAACGAAAAAGTTACCATATATTTCATTAACCCATAGTCCATTTTTTTTCAACACAATTTTGCCTATCTCTGGCAGTGACCTTGTAAACAAAGCAGTAGAAACGAAAAATCCATCGGTGCTGTAAATTTAGCCAGTCGGAACATTTCAACAGGAAAGTTACATAAAAATACGAACCAAAATTATTCTAGTCAGAAATGTAAAATTATCGAGACGGCCATAAAAAAAAAGGGGGAACAAAAGTTATTTTCTCTCGTACTACCTAAGCCGTACTAAAGTATGTCTACGCACAGATTAGATTACGATGAATTGTGTAGGGATCGGTATCGCTATTATATGTAAGCGGTTAAATGTTCCTTACCGTGAAGAATACGAGGCTATTTCTCTGATCGTATAATAATTAAAATAAATGACTGTCTCAGAAGCAAAACTGAACAACTCCGATTGGTATAAACCCCTTATTTTTACCAAAATTTAAAAAAGAGATTTATTTAATACGTAACAATTTCAACCATTATAACAAACAAGTGTAAAATTTCCTGTGGTTGTACATACGAGTAATCGAACATCGGTGTTTCGATATTGGTTGATTTGACGAAGTTTGTTCATAGATAAATATTACGTACATGCGTATCTATAGATACATCTCTCTGAATTATCGTAACCATCACTGACGTTAGAATGTAAAGACTACCCTCTCAAAGTACGATTTCCCATATTTTATTGAGACTTAGATAAACCATCCCGGAGAAGGCTTTCACCACGTGTCTCGCACAACCACAAAGAATTCTACTTTCCCTCGACAAATAGCTACTTAAAACGTTGAAACAATGATTTCAACACCAATTCTTCCTAATTCCTACTCTACGAAGTCGACGAGTTCTGCTTCTAAGACGCTCAAGCCAACAGAAAAATGAAGAAAAACTAAAGATATATCATACTCTTCGTAATTCCTGAAGAACTGAACACACATCATGAGATTGTTCAGCACGAAGTTTTCAGGGTTCCTCTGGATCGCCCTTTTTAACAACAGGAGTTCGATGTCCTCGTACTCTTCTTCCTTGGCTGCTGCCGGGTCCTTCCCGCCGCTCGGGCGTCCATTGCGACCCGTCTTCCCGTAAATTTTCCCGCGCGAGCCGCGTTTAGCTTTCGACTTGGAGTTTCCCATCGCGAGTTTTCCCAGATTCGCGATAACCGCTTGCTAGAAATGATCCGCCACCGATGAGCTTATCCTGGTCAGTTTGTCGACGGACGAAGTGATATTCGGTAGTCCTGACGGTTCGAGAGGAAATCAACGTACGCGCACATGACCCGTTTCAAACGCGAGATGACACGTATTCAACACTCATCGATAAGACAATGATCGAACCCCGGGGAACCGCTGTCGATAAATACCTACCTATCTTGTTATCGAGGTACGCGAGGCAGAACGCTTTTAATCCGTGCTTCGCTATCGACTATCGACGAATGAGTTAGGCATGAAAAACTTTTTGTACTAGCACCACGACCGTGGCCAACCGTGGTCTCGCGATAACGTTTTCACGTGCAAGGATCCCAATGGTGAACGTGCCACCCTTGCAAGTCTCCACGCTAATCTCATTATTTGGGTCATTGTTTCTCAGCGTGGGCGTATGGCACCTCGAAATGGACGATTTTTTGACTATTTCATTTTGGGCGGCGATGGTCATTTGGCTTGGAATTATATTAAAACTTTAATTGTGGCGTTGCCAGCTACATATTAGAGGGATCGAAAAGTAATGTCGTTTCTGCGAATGTCAATACCGAATTGATTATCGAATGCTGCGAATTGTTTAACGTTTATCAGATCATTGTGTACCAATTGATTTTTATCGATCAGATATTGAAAATTTACACGCTAGATGGCAAACGGTTGTTGATAACGAGGACGATTACGTAATTGATTTAAAATGGTAACTTATTATAAATTTATTTGTTTGAATTTAATGTAAAAGGAACGCACTGCTTCCTGGTCTTCCTAATATTTAGCAAAAATAAAATAAGAGATTTCAATTCTGTTTGCCAAATACCGACTAAACAAAGAAAATGTTTCTTAAAAAGCTGTATAGTAAATAACAGGCTCGACTCGTGTCTCATTTTCAGGTGGAACCCGTGCAATGGACGTTCGAGAATATCAGCGTTAACGAAGATGCCAGCCCGAGCGAGCTTAGGCATCTGGCTGATTTCCTTTCGAAGAAACAGTTCGATCTAATAATAAATTTGCCAATGAGGAACGGCGGTGCGCGACGTGTCTCCAACTTCATGACGCATGGATATCGTACAAGAAGGCTCGCCGTTGATTACTCAGTTCCACTGATTACGGATGTTAAATGCGCAAAACTACTCGTTGAAGTGAGTACAATACACGAGTACGAAGCTCATGACGTTTGATAATACAGATCAGTGTAGATAAAACTGCATACAGGTGAAACTAAAGATAAAACTTACGAATATCGTGAAATAAGATAAATTGCTTTTTATTCGTTATTCGTCGAATGAAATTTAGAATTTGAGTTATAAAGGATTCTCCGAGAGTTTAGAATTTTGTTTAATCGTAATGCAATACGAATGCTTAAACGATTTTATCTCCTACGTTTGATAAATTATTTCCGCTTCAGATAACAAATAATAATGCTTTTGGGGATTCCCGACAGATAGTAATTTTTAGTTTGTTTAAATAGAACTTTCAGGGCTTTGGAATTTTCAGAGCTCATATTATTACTAGACTGCGGGTCTTATGCATTTATGATATAGACGCGCATGGAGAATGTTCTAGTCTACTTATTACAGATGAAGCTGTTAAAAATTTCTGCGTAAACGTCGTATCCTTTAAGTATTGAAATTCTGACGTTTCGTCAGTGATGAAACTATCTTCACCGAGAGATTAGATGATACACTGATAAGAAACTATTGTGATCGTTATCAATTTATCACCCAAGTGCAATTATGACAACGTATTAAGTTGTCTCGATGTATCAACGTTAAAAGCTCGTAGAAAGCTCGACGATACCTTTTTTATAATCTTTGAGATTGTATTATAATTAGGCTTAACCCGTTTGATTTATAAATAAAATAATACAGATTCCTTGATAAAGCCAGCTGCAATGCTCTCTAACAATTTCTCTAACACTTAGCTTCACCCTCCCAACCCAAAACAGTTTTAATTGATTAGGATTATCCTTCATTATTAGCACGAATGCGTTATACATCTACACATTTCGTCAACTATTTCGTCAGATCAGTATTAAAATGGCAATTTTTCGAATCCTCAAATCAAAAGCTCAAATTCCTGTGTCGACTACTTTAGATTCGTCATTTTTTTTTTTTTTTTTTAAATTTTATTATTAACAACTAAGGACCGTACTCCACAAATATAATATCAGACGCTAATTTTCAAGTTGAGTCTGTTCAGAATAAAACTCCAAAGTAACCCGAGCTTTCTGCACCGTCGCATTGACGTAACCTCCGTAAGAATGCCCAATCGCGATCGTTATTTCATCGATAACAATTGCAGTTACTATACGGTGTGACCTCTGTTGCACAGGCTATGAGGATGCTCAACGGGCGTGCACCTCGCATGAAGACCCACACAGACTGCGTGTCTTCGCGAAAGATGATCAAGCTTCCTGGTCTGATCGACATTCACGTGCATACCCGCGATCCTGGCGCTGTTTACAAGGAGGACTTTGCATCCTGCACCGCAGCTGCGCTCGCAGGAGGCATCACGATGATCTTGGCGATGCCAAACACGAATCCCGCGGTCGTCGATCTTCAATCATTTTGCTTGGCCAAGGAGGTAAGAGCCATGACATTTGTTTGTTTTTATGTTTGTATTTATGATATCGTTCGCTACAAATTGTTTACTTTGAAATGTTCACAATTCTTCTCATAATACCCCAGCGCGCTGTCTCCAGCGCGAGATGCGATTATGGAATTTTCATGGGCGCATCGTCGGACAATTACAATATAATACCAGAGTTGGCACCACTGGCTGCGGGTCTGAAGATGTACCTGAACGAGACATTTACGACGCTCCGACTGACTGATCTCACAGCATGGATTAGGGTACGTCTGCAACAGTTTTAACCAATTTCTTGAAGTATTTAAGTGTCCTGAAACAAGGACAATATTTCATCCTGTAACAAACAAACCAGTCGGTCATCGTTTTTTAATGAAACTAAACGTCACGACCGTAATAAATATTATACAATTATTAAATCCAAAAAATTAAACTTTTAAATATAAAATATATACAATTAACGATTAATAAGTAATCAAAGACAAATTCATTGTGGAAAATTGCAAGTCGCCCATTCTTTTGATAATTGTATGTCATTACTACAAAAGTAATCAGTGCCTAACTACGGTCTACGACCTTCAACGCATCCAAACAATCACGCTAGTTTCCCAAGCACTAATCCCACGTAAGTGGAAAAATGTAATGAGTATATCCCTCAGATAACGATCGTCTTCTCGCTGGAAGAGAACGTAAACACTCGTCAACTCTATATGGTAAACTAGCAACTAATAATCTTTGTTTGTTGTAGCACTTTCAAAGCTGGCCAAAGAACCATCCCCTTTGCGTGCACGCCGAGGGCCAAACGACGGCCGCCGTTCTCTTATTGGCTGTATTACACAACCGGCCCATTCACGTGTGTCACGTGGCTAGAAAGGAAGAGATTCAAATAATACGCGCAGCTAAAGAGAAAGTAAGTAATTGCCAGACTATACATTTATGCAATTATGCCATCAATTTTGTGGCATATACAAATATAATGCGAAAATTCGATAATGCTTCTTGAATCCTTAAGTAAGACACCATTCGAACCTTTTATTTTTACAAAGGTAAAGGGTGGAGAGGGGCCATATTAGGAGGTCAAATATCGAGTGTTTTTCTGGATTTTTTTCACAGGAAAGACTATTTAATTTTTTTTTAAAATTCCGAAAAACAATTTAGTATTTGGTCTCCTAATGTGGTTTTCCTTTTTAATAAATAATTCAAACATTAAGTCAACTTGATTAGCTCTATTAACTATTAATTGATATGGTGTCGAGCGATATATGTTTGTTGGGCAATCTAGATTGAAGGTTTCTGTTATCAAACGAGGGCTCTGAATCTGTTGCCCAACTAACCTTGATTTAAAATTTGGAATCCACTTGACCTCCTTACTAATTGTACCAGTTCATTGGTGACTTTAGATCAAAGTTTGATGTGCATGGGTTTGACTGACCAGCTTGGAAATTTTATTACTATAATACTCTACCATTCCTTTCCCATAGCTGAAACACCATTGCTTGTCTTTTTTAGGGAATGGCGGTGACTTGCGAGGTCTGCCCTCACCATTTGTTCCTTTGCGAGGAGGACCTCGAGCGCATCGGTCACGGACGAGGTCAAGTGAGACCGATATTAGGAACCAAAGAAGATCAACAAGCTCTATGGGAGAATTTGGACGTGATCGATTGCTTCGCGACGGATCACGGTAATTCAGTACTAAATTTAATTAACCCTTTGACTGCGGGGCAATTTTTGCTGGAAATTCCGAGGGGCGCGTCACTCGAACAGACGAATTTTTACAAAAATATCACTTTATAGAGAGCGATAAGACCGAAAATTTTTATATTTTCAGTTTATTCATTCGGCGTTTACTTTGAAAAATTAAAATTAAAAACTTAAAAGATCTTTTTCCCGAACTTCAATTATATTTTAAAGTTTCTCTACTTTCAAGCACCACACACGGTACAAGAGAAATCCAGCGAGAAACCGCCACCTGGATTCCCGGGGCTCGAAACCATGCTTCCGCTTTTGCTGACCGCCGTCCACGAAGGAAAAATGACGATGGAGGTATTCTCTTAATTGCATAATTTTAATTCTCCGGTAAAGACGAAGACGAACCCCTCTATGGGCCGAATTTTGTTTCTGCAGACAACTCGCAAGGCATTTACTTTGATATTTTAGGTTGATGGTGCTGCCAACCGTTATCAATATTGTTATTGGTCATCAGAGATATCATATAATTAAAACGTATACGTCATCTTGTGGAAAAACTAAAATTATTTGGTAAAATGTCGATAGAGGGTTAAATCATATTGTAAAACAATTCCTTCTAATATCAACGAGAATCCTTTATTTTATTGTCCGCGTATTTGGCGACCAGGTGTAAAAGATTTGCTTCATTTTTTCAGGACGTGATAGATAAACTCTACAGAAATCCGAAACGAATCTTCAACATACCAGACCAACCGAACACTTACATCGAGGTAGACCTTGACGACGAGTGGGTAATTCCGGAGGCCATGCCCTTCAGCAAGTCGAAGTGGACGCCATTTGCTGGAATGAAGGTTCGAGGAACGGTTCACAGGGTGGTCCTCAGAGGCGAGGTCGCGTACGTCGAGGGACAGGTCCTGGTGAATCCTGGGTTCGGGCAGGACATCAGACAAATACAGGTGGCGAAACACCAAGGTCACATGAACATTCCGCCTGTCGTCGACGTCACTAGTCGACCCAGCTCGGCGTTGGATGGTCTTCTGTCCCCGAACCATGAGAAGTATAATAGTTATCCTGAACGGATGACGGACATGACGGAGGAAGAACAAAATGGTACGAAAACATTTTCTATCTTGAACGAATTATTTGGTAGTGTACGAAAGACAGAACCAGTGGCCAGACTATATATCATATATTAATTTGACAAGAAACTTTGACATTGCACGTAGACGTGATCAAGGATAGAATAATCCCTATAGTAAACTAATTTATTTCCTAACTGCTATTCTTTGCTTCTGCTTTCAGATCCATTCGCCCAATTGCTGCAGCCAGTGACACAAAAGTCTAACGTCCACTTTGCCGTGGACGTGGACTCTCGCGAGCAAACGAAAGCTTCCCTGTTGCAGCGTACCATTTCACCCCTTCCTATCAGTAGCGCGATGAAGTTCAAGAGCGACAGCAACCCTAATCTATTCGTGTCGTCAGTTGCACTGGTTCCGCCTGTTTCTACCACTCACAGCCTCATTGGACATAGCATTCTATCCGTGGACATTTTCAACAAGGAAATACTGAAGGACCTCTTCAACATTGCGGAATTCCTTCGCAACGCCATTAGAAAGGAACGTCCCATCGATCATATTTTACGAGTAAGAATCCATTTCGTAATAACCAGATGGGATCCTGATTTTTTACAACGTCCACGTTGAACGTTCTCCTTCCACGGATCGTGTCTTTATTAGACGTATCCTCTGAACAGGGAAAGATAATGGCGTCGATCTTCTACGAGGCCAGCACTAGAACTTCTTGCAGTTTCGCCGCTGCGATGGAGCGACTCGGAGGAAGGGTGATATACATGGACGGATCCACGTCATCGGTGAAGAAGGGAGAAACCTTGGAAGGTTTGTAATGTCCTCGATAGCTTCTACTTGTATACATAACTTCGTATTACCTAACTTCGTATAACAGAGTAAGTACTCTGTACTGTACTCTCTATTGTGGTCGATAAACTCGTCAAATAAATAAAAGAAAGAAAAATAAGCAATGCGTAGACAATTCATCGCACGATGTCGTAATATTTCAGATTCGGTAGTAGTCATGGCTGGATACGCCGACGTAGTCGTCCTTCGACATCCCGAGCCTGGTGCAGTATCGGTGAGCGTTAACTAATCAAACTTACAAGGAACATTCCTCAACTGAACATTTCTCTTCTCTTACGAAACATGGTATACAGATAAAAAAATTACACAACAGAAAAATACTTCTTTATCAACTGACACTCGGTGCAATTAAAAGCAATCTCTCGTGTCTATTAATCATCGATTCACTCTCAGACAAAAAAATTGGAGAAACTCGTTGCCCTATAGCCTTGACCCTGCAGTTGTATGATGATTATTGTTCATCCGTAAAAATGAAGTGAAACAAACAAGCTTATCGTTTGATGACCCGTGTGTCTAGAGAGCGGCGCAACATTGTAGGAAGCCATTGTTGAACGCTGGCGACGGGGTCGGTGAACATCCGACGCAGGCCTTGCTGGATATCTTCACGATACGTGACGAGATCGGTACGGTGAATGGACTGACCATCACTATGGTTGGGGATTTGAAGCACGGCAGGACTGTCCATTCTCTCGCAAGGTCGGTCATGTTTTCATAAAAATTTCACGGATGACCTTGTTTCGCATCCTCGATCCATCTTATCTTTATGCGATCTACATCGTGGCCAATAACTCTCGTACGTGTCAACGTCGACGCATTTTGCGGATGTTTTAAAGCGAGATAGTCCGTCGCCATTTCGCTTTCTAAAGTTCCATGGCTAGGTCAAGTGCTGAGTAAGTCCTTGTCCAATGACACGATGCGATACGTTGCCCCAAAACTACCTGGTTGAACTTCAAACCAAAGGGAACTGTGGGTTTTATGCATTTGCAAACGTGATTTTTGATTTATTTAGTATCGTTTAAAAAACATACGAATTTTAAGAGATATGGAAAATTGTATGAGGACATGGACAAATACAAAAATATTTTAAATATCAGCAAGAAAGTACATGTTTAGAAAATAACACACTTCTTCTCTAAATTTCGAATCATCATCTGTGCCTGTAAAAATATAAATTTGCGTAAACATTCCCAGTCTACTTATAGTACTTTGCCCTGGACCTACGAATGTTTTTATCAAGTAATAAAGGCTCTAACATATCGTGGATTGCGATGCAGGTTACTGACCCTGTACAATGTCGAGCTACGATACGTGTCACCCCCCGGCCTTGGAATGCCTGAGCACGTGGTGAAGTACGTGTCCAAGAGGGAAATTCCACAGACAAAGTTCTCCAGTCTTGAGGACGCGCTTCCTGACACAGACGTCCTGTACATGACGCGAATTCAGAAGGAACGTTTCGCCAACCCGCAGGAGTATCGACAGGTAAACATTTCTTTGGTCTAGTCGTCATTGAACTTGGATTTTGGAAGGCTGAATTGCTCGTTAGCATGCGAAAGACTAATTCGATGGAAAAGATTTATCGTGCACCAGACCATGACCATTATCTCCATTAATAAGGAGACATAACTTGTCTTGTAAATAAAGACAAAGCTAATATTATAGACGTTATTACTAAGTCTCAAAGTTATTCTGCTATTATGAGATAGGCTATAGATTTGTTTAATTTCAAAACGAAACGAAAGAAACGATAAAAGGAGAAAGATTAATATTCTACTAATTGGCAATATATCGGAAACTTTGATTGCAGGTTTGCGGGCATTTTGTGATAACGCCACAGTTGATGTCCCGCGCAAAGAGAAAGATGATAGTGATGCATCCTCTGCCTCGTGTCTTCGAGATTAGCCCAGCGTTCGACATGGATCCACGCGCTGCTTACTTCCGACAAGCTGAAAACGGCGTTTACGTTCGAATGGCTCTGTTGGAGATGGTTCTTAGAAGACCATGATCGATCCAACAACCGATAAACAAACGTGTTTTATCAGACGAGACCAATTTGACTATCAAGAAAACCATCGATACAAGAAGAACAGTTCTAATTAACCTATGATCCGTGTACATTGTTTTATAGTCAATCAAAGGGACACAAGAAACCATCGACGAAGAACGGCAATGCCAGGGAAAAGACAACTACCTTTTTTATCATACGTTTGCAAACTTCATGTCCCGTCCTCCCGACATTTGAATCCTTGCATTAGGAGCTTCATCTTCATCCAGGCCGATAATGCAACGCTTCCGCCAGACATTCCGCACGTGTAAAATTTCCCACGAATCTGTTTTGATGGACAGTTTTTATCTGTACGTAATATATTTACAGAGGCGATTAAAATTTGCGTCACGCGATATAATTTCACCCTCCTCGTCCCGTTTCCTAACGCCGGTGAAAAACGATCACGTGCACGACGATAAAATCTTTCGATTTCAGACAATGTCATTCGTACGTCAATGGAAAACGATCACGCGCAAGGTGATCGAATCTTTCACTTTCAGACAATGTCGGTGAGAAATGATCACGTAATAGGTAATAAGATTTTTTACTTTCAGACGATGCCGTTTCCATGGTCGATGAAAAACGATCACGTGCAAGGTAACAAGATTTTTCAATTTCGAACAATGGCGTTTGCATGATCGATGAAAAACGAGCACTGAATGGTGTTAAAAGTCGTTTACTTTGAAACAGTACCGCTTACATTTATATATATATATGTATATACACTTTTTCCCATATGTACACAAAACATACGCATATAAAATCGTCTTGATATAATATAAATTATCGATTAGGGAATACTTTGGGAGTCTTTCATAGTGCACGCACGAGTTGAACAATCGCTACAATTAACGTCATCATTTTTATCGAGCTTTGTAATCACGCTCATCCAGTAGCGAAACATCGATGTCGACGCGTGCTTTATTGAAATACGCTCGATAAAATCGTTGCCCCGTTGGGAACGGCGCTACACCATTTTTGCTAATCGTTACAAGGCCGAAGAGGAATGACTAGACATCGTAACCTCGGCACTGTCGCGATCGCCATCACGGCAAAACGCAAATTCCAGAGAATGAAAGAAAAAGTCGGTCTTGAGAGAAACAAGTCGGACAACTTTTTTGTGATGTTGGCTCTCTTCAGGTCAACGCGTATGCTACATCCGCCTCGCGTTACGAAAGCTCGATGACTTTCTTAGATAACCCTTCGAGCTATGTGAATTGTCTTAAATATGATAACACGAACGACTGTGATCTTCGAAGCAACTTTCGATGCCCTTCTAAAAATTAAAAGTGTTCTTTTTCTCTCTCAAAAAAAAAAAGAGAAATCAAACTCTTATCAGATTTGGAATTTCTCTGGACCAACGTTTCCTTTTATTTCGAAATGTACCAAGAGCAAACAAAAATTTGTATTTCCATAAACTTGTTGAGATTGTTCGGCATTCGTACTAGCAGAGTTGGAGAAACTTTTATTCGATCGTTGACCGTCAGTAATGAAATGAATTCTGAAGGTGAGGTGTTGAAAAAATCATAAACCTGGTTAGGACTCGTAAAAATAACATCAAAAAGTACAGTTTCCAATCTTGTAGAAACGAAATTTTAGAAAATTTGTATTTGTTCACCGTGACATATTATTTCATTCTTTCAGTTTCTAGATTTAATTCAACGAACGATGGATAAATTATTCATTCTGTTCTCGTTACTCAAGATTCTTCTAGATAAGATTTGGATTAGTCTAGATAAGAATTTTGCCCAACTCTGTGTACAAGAATGGAACTTCTTCTCCTGGGCGCGACGAAACACACTTGCCTTAACACGCGTTTCCACACACGTATACACGCTCGCTCGTACGTGATTCGTAAATTCGTATCGTATAATGATCTCGCGCGTACGATGCTCACTGATTTCAGCAAACATCGAGCAACGCGTGATCTCGAGCCGTCGAAACTCTCGAGAGTTCCCTGAATACGATCGATGCGATCGAGAGGTTCTAATAACCCATAGATAAATAACGATATATAAATCACAGTTACGGGGGATAATATTAACAAATAACGACCAACCAATTCAATTTTCATGGCAAACAACATACGTAACGCTTGGCCTTGTTGCATTGAGTCGTTATTCAAAACCTGTACAAGTGAATATAAACAAACTAATACATATTGTCGTACATGAACGAAAGTTGAAACACACGATTCGACTTTATAGCTCTTCCGGTATAGCTCTTCTTCCTACATGCTTTGAGACTCCCTTAAATATGTCACTTATTTGTTTATCTTTACTTTTGCAAATTTTGAAAGCGATCCCATAAAACAACTCTAAACGTTGGTAATTGCTCGCGATAAAACTGAATTGGATGTCCATTTATATTTCCGACGAGCAGATTGTCCTTGTTGAGTAATATTAACGTCTGCTCGAAGAACTTCTTCGCGACAAATGGCGGCATGATTCGCGAGTATTTCATCGCGACATAACCCAAGCGTGATTGTCCGCTCCTGAACCGAGACTATCGCCACCGATTATTCACTTATCGTTGGAATAAATAGCGTTTCGTGACGAAGAAGTTCGATGGAAACCACCAGCTACTTGGCTTTTGTTCTTGACAAAGTCGACGCGAGGATGTCAGACTATGGCACTCGTTCGATAACCAGAGTCACTGGCACCAGTCGGACACATGCCAGCTGCTAAGGACTTCACGTCGTCCGTTTTGCTTCTCTTTATGCGAGAGATCGGCGGCATTCTCAGCTTGAGCTTCTTCTTCTTTATCAGGGCGTCCTTTTTTCTGAAACCAGACAAAAGTGATCGCTGCCACGCCCTGTCTTTCCAAAGATCCAATTACAGGCATCCGAAAATAGTACCCAGAATAGATTTTCTATCTCTCGAAATGAAAATGTATAGTATACCCAATTTCATTTTGTTTTATGTGTTAAGTTTCGAAAGAGTTTCATCGACATTCTAAATTGTCATAAAACTAAAAATAAAATGTATCTTTGAACGTAGTAATTGCAGCTCCGAAGTTTACTGATATGCAGAATTAAAGACGTTTTAACGAATACCATTTTTGTTCGAGACAGATAAACGTTATTCCCTGCTGTTTTGCAATAACAAATTCTTCGGTTGTTGTAGATAATATACATAGCCTAACAAGCATTGATTCTGACCATTTCGCACTCATGTGTCTTTCCTTTGTTGAATACGATGTACGGTATTATACTTTTAGAGAAATATTCGTAATCTTACTTACTGGTGCTTGCAGTCGATGAATATGCCCATCGAAAATAATACGACTATAGCGACGATGATGCCGACCACGACCACCACAAGCGTCACTATAGCGTCCTCCTCTTCGAGCGTTAAAGGTTCCTCCGTTGTCGACCACGATACGTCTGAAACACGAATTATGTTTGTAGCAGAGATGAGTAACGTCTCAACCATGAGTAACATTACAACCTCAGAAAAAGGTAAAAGAATAAAATCAAACAAGAGCGATTTGAATAGTTGCTCCGATAAAGCGTGTCTTTACCTCGAGATAATTCCGAAATACAAACAGCGAAATATTTCATTTCACAAATGAACCAGCGACGAATAAATCGTTGGTCGAGGCTGTTGCCTAAATCCGAAATTCGCACGCTTCAGCTAAAAACATTTTCAACCGTTTCGCAACCAGGAAATAAATACAGCAACAAAATAATCCGTCCAAGGAAGCGTGAAGCGTGCCTTCTTCTTCGAAGACTGTAGAAATTCCATGTTTATTTCGTAACGATCGTTCGGCTTATGTAAAGCCACGGTTAACGACCCAACGGTGTCATGGGGCTGAATTTCTGCATTGAAAAATCAACGCTGACGCGCGTCGATTGCGTACAATCGACGTGCTCCCGAGCATAGGAAACGGTGGTCGAAAAATTCGGTCGTTGGGGTTCGGTTGACGTCATCGTGCGGTTTCCGTTCTTCGCTAGAACTCGTGGATGACGTTCGGCAGGGCACGTACACCATCTTGGCGACGTTTCACGACCATTAGAAGCGGGGGAGTTGAAAGACCCGAAGGCATTTGCCAGGGTCCCAAACCCCTGGCGTGACAAACAAACGGGGACCTACAGTCGACTCGTGGTAACTCGAGTCTCGAAGGTAGAACTACGATTGAACTCCGTTTACCTGAACTCCATTCATTGCAACGAAATTTTCACTCGTGTTTGATATAGCGAATTTCTGCCGGATTTCTGTTACCTGAATTATTACGGGACATTTTAATGTAAAATTAAAATCAAACAAATACATTCTTAATAAAAATGATATATAGCTCTGTAAAACCATTGTAATAACGAATTTCAATTTGATACTTCTACAGGTATGTTCTTAAGGATCTACAGGGTTCATTTGTACAATAAAAACGTGATTCTTTTTCATTTTACTTGAGTTTCTCCTCTCGAGCGCAAAAGGTATCGAAATTATTCAAATTCTTGCGTCGCAGAAAGTTGCCGCCCACGATAATAAAAAATCGATGGCTCTATATGAGAGGCGTGTTCGATACAGATATCGTTTCTAAAGATAAGCAGCAAGAATTGTATAACTAACGGAACATAATACAGTATATTTTTACGCAGTAAGGTCTCGTGTTACGCGGTGAATTACTTTCAGAACTTCGCGCGTAAGTAGAATCGCATAAACATGACGTGTCTTCGGTATGCGATCTCGATTTCGAAGCTTGCGTAGGTCACAGTTTTAATTAAAATTTGGTTGGACGAAAGTAATTCTATGTGATAAACAAATGTCAAACGACATTAATTAAGAAGCAAGATGAAATAGATAATGTACGTGAGGAATAACAATCAAATTTTTAAAAGTGATTAATTGTTTATGATAAATTAGCAAGTTTGATACCCATCTATAATCCAGCGCGAGTTTAATTTAAAGTCGCGTACTTGCTCGTTATCGAAACTTTTAAAGTTCGATTTATTTCTATCATCGATGCGTAACTATTGTGATTTTGAGGCAATAGTATGGTCCAGGAATAATCAATTTACAATCATTAGTTTACAAACTCTCAATGCTTAAATCTTGTTCAAGAAAGAAGATTTTCGCGTAAGTTTAAAAAATGAGTTCAAGATAGACGGGTTCATAGTGCACTTCTTTGCAAAAAAGACAAATTGAGAGAATGAAAATTCCATTCTATATGTAAATAGTCGCATACATATTTATGAGGACATGAATGGGACTACTACTGTGTTACTCATTTCTACGCGAAGATAACTGTCACGTATTAGGTATTTTACCCCGCGTACTTTGAATAATTAGATCTCAGTGGAACGAGCGTTTTATCGAAGAACGAGCATTAAGCTCTTATCGGTCTCTCACTATTTCTCTGAGAAACGCGTCTTTATTTGTGCGTAGGCTGTTAACATCGACTCGAGCCGTCAATGACCAGAACAATGCTTTTCATTTAAATGACAGAATCTCTCGAATGACTATCGCGTCGCATAATCGACGTACCTGTCGTTGTTCGCGGATGACGCGGTGGTAAATGCAAAGACTTATCGACACCTGTACGTACTGATTCGTGCGTCTCTTTTCACCCAGAACTAAACATACTTTAAACAAGGATAGCATTCCAATTTTTAGTTCATACTCATGAAATTTAACCTTCGGCTCGTGTAACTTTCAAGTCACGTGTTAATACATCTTAAAGGTTTCTGTGTAAAATGAGTGATAGAAAATACCAAATGTGCTTTAAAACATACATAAAATTTCGTCAAAGTTAGAACAAAATTAAGTAAATTTTTCTGCGTAAATAAAAAATATCTAACGAGCAACACTTAATAATTTGACTGACGCGGTGTAATGACACTCCTAATGTGATTTCTTCCCTTGAATACTTGTTACACGTTATGTGCACGTTATAGACTGTGCAGCGATGTAAACCTACGACAAAAGAAAGGGAACCGCGCTAGGCACCTGTTGAATCTGACGTAAGAACTTGAAGCAATACATCAGAAGATGAAGTTGCTCCGAAATACCTTTGAGGTGAAAACTGCATGTATGCGTACCTCGTTTATAAAATTTATTGCTATTAACTTCTTGCACTCCAGATGATATTTTATCATCATTACTTAATTTAATCATTTCTATAAATTATGAAAATAATTTTAAATAGAAATAATTTTTATGAATCGTAGGTTCCAAATTGTTCGTCTGCGATACGTCCCTTCAGCGTACTCAGATAGTGAAGAGAATGAAGATAGTAGAAGGTTTAAAGATAACATTTTAAAGAAGTCACTTGTTTCCATCAAACCTAAGTTCCACTTAGAAATCAATTATAAACCAAAAACATAAATACGTTTCAAATTCGTATCACCCTAACTCTATAAAAATGATTCTTTCTTAATGTGAACATCATTCTCTAGTCACAATTGTACAAGAACTCCGAAACGTTTTCTTGAAATTCGATTATACATCGAAAACAACAAGTCAAGTTTCAAGTTGGCATCAATCCACCACTATAAACATTATTATCTTTATTACAAATATCGTTCACTAATTCAGTTCCACAAGAACTCTCAAAGTTTCTCTTAAAACTCCATTAAACATCCAAAACATCGAGTTTCACGTTCCTACTACCGATCACCATAAACATAAATTTCTTTCATCGCAAATATCATTCACTATTCACCATTTAAACAAAAAACGCGACTAGAAAGTGTCAACCGTAAGCAAGAGGGGTCGCGTTTACAACTCATCGTCCCCACGGAAAGCGAGTTCCTGTTTTTCAAATCCTCGCTTTACGCGCAAGGATCGCAACGGATCGACGCGCAAAGGCCTCAAGATCTTTCTCTATTCTTAATCGAATTTACCTTTCGTCGTGGACGAGAGTGCGAGGCTAGCGTTGACGCTCCTGACGCGCATGTTCGTGATCGAGAGTCCTCGTGTGTTAGACCACCTCAGACGCGTAGAGCCGTTCGATATCGTTCGCGATTCGACCGGTTCGAGATCCCGAAGTAAACTGTCGGGCCACATGCCTCGAGTCATGCGATATGCTGAGGCCTCTGCTAGAGCAACGGAAACCGAACGGCGGAGCGACAAGGTGGGAGGGTATTCAGGATCCTGAGTGGAAGCGAGAGGAAAGCCACGCTTCACGGATCGCTGGAAGAGGAAGGCGGGGCGGAGAGGAAAGAGAAACCTCACGGACTCCGTCGAAGAGTCCGCGAGGACTGCGGAGTGAGGACCGACTGTGTAACTTCCATTCACTGTCCCGGGAACCGCGTATAACCTGGTACGCATTGAAACGACCTGCACGGTTTTTGTACACTCCTCGTCAAAATTACACGAACCATCGTCACGGATCAACCAGTGATGGATCTAGACTTGTCGAGACTTGGAGGAAGACTTACTCTGAATTGTGAAAATGAAGTATCGTGTAATTAAATAAAAGAGCACTGTTAAATCTGAATTTTTTCGTAAATCTGAACTTTTTTTAAGGAGAAAAGTTTTCTTAATTTTCGTTTAACTTTAAGAATGTTTTAAGTATGTTTGAAAGAACATTAGGTATTTTATTCAATTCATTTCACATAGATGTCTTTGAGATATCAGCTGTTCCTTGGTCCCTATCGGTGGGAATTCTGGAAGTCGCAATTATTACCCGAAAGCAATGAAATTTGCTAAATTAGTAGAAGTATATCGATCATATTTCTTAATACTGAATAATTGTAATAGTACGAATTCCAGAATTTAAATATAAATATTTTTCGAGTGACTCCGTCCCGATAACGTTCAGGTTCTTTTAAAACAGTCATGAACAAACACCGGTCGAAAGAAAGAAAAAGATTTTTAAAATCGACGTCTGTTCTGCATTATGTTTGATTGAGGAAAATTATTCAATAACAGACAGTTTAAGCATATTTGACAAATTGCGATTTTACAATTGTACGCAATAAAATTTCATTCATTTTTTATTTGTTATTTGAAGATACCTCAATTATTCGTGTTTTCGTATGAGAAACTAAAGGTTTTATCGAGTACTGTACTAATCGTTCCATTCCCTTTCGAATAGATCCTACGACACTGATTTATCTGTGTTTACATAATTAAGAGACGTGTATGTAAATCCGTACGACACTTCTTTCCGTAAACATTATTCCCCAAGGAATTTCGTAAACAGAAAATTGCGAAAGATTGCAGAAAATTTTCGAGAACATTGAAATTTGGTATCTGAAGCAGATAGGCTGCAAATGTTTGTAAATTTTACAGTGCATCGGTGGCATTATGTATGGTTGGAAAAGATAAAACGCCAAATATTTGCTTTTGTTTTATATTGTTTAAATAAGTACCATCGACGGCGACGTTTTCAACGTGATTTTCAAAACGCACGTGCGTTACAAATATTCCAACGTGCAAAGGAAATAATGATCTTTGCAGCGCCTCGACCTTCGAATATGCAAAGCATTATTAACATAAGGGAATCGAAGATGTTATTGGTAATGAAATAGAACACGTTGTTAGTCATTGTCAATTGTTCCAACAAGGCAAGCAAACAGGTACGGTAGACGACTACCTGTTGCAGAGTCTCTACCTTCGTATGACTTGCAATTTAAAGTGAATTACATTGCTCGCTTAATCTTCTTAAATAGAGACCGATTCTTATTGTTAATCTTGTATTTTATCCCATTTATCTTCCGGTTCTGTAATGTACGTAGGAGAAATACGCATCGGCACCGTGCACTACTCCAACAAAGCCGCTCAACATCTGCAAACACACACGATACATTACGATAGAAAACTCAGCTTTGTTTTAAAAATTGATTAGTCGTCATCTGGATTTATGCTGAAAGCATCGCGTCGGAAAATTGTTCACGTTTTAACATAATTAAAATAAATATAAGTAGACGTTACAAATACAATATTTAAAAATGAATACATAATGAACTTGATCGCAACCCGATTAAAAAAAGGGCATTTCAGTAAAATCGATAGGAAAGAAACCAGCTAATTCGCGTATGTGAACTTTGAATAATGTTCTGAAGAAGGCATTCGTCACAGGCTAAAATGTCGATCAATGAATCATCGTTTCTGTACGCGCTGATGACTATACGAAGTTTATTACTCTGCTTGCCAATGGACGAGTCTTTATATTATCGAATAATACAGTTACCGTAATTTGATTTAACTTTACGATTAATTGTACATACATAAGCGGCCGTCATTGCAGGATACACGTCGAAGCCTGGTATTAGGTGATATTCCGGTAAAAGAAATACCTTTGTCGAGAATGCCAAATACGATGCTGAGCTCAAGTACAAGAACGAGGCTAAAGCGTTGAACATCATTTCCTGTAATTTTTACAAGGTGGAATTAAACAAAGGATCGCATGTCTGTCTGTTGCTTACGGTCAGGCATGAGCAAACATCTTAACTAGATAGAAATTTGTATAATTTGAATAAGAATTGAAACTTTAATTATATTACATCGAAGAAATAAAACTCATCCAAATAATTATTTAGTTTTGGTGACAACTTGCTTTACACACAAAGAGTTATTTGCATTTATTTGGATGTGAAGTAATTACAATTTAGACTGTAATATATCTTGGTCCACTCTTCATATTTACGTGTCGGAACATAACATTTTACATTGATAAGCTATTATATACGTACAAAAAGGGACGATCTGATCAGTTTGTACGATTTTTCGGACACGATGTAGCAGGCAAGCAGTACCGCCGAGGTCAGGAAACAAGCCGAAGATGTGGTCAAAGACCCCTCGAAAGCCGAGCCGATCGTTGTGCTGTATCTCAAACCGTAGTTAATTAACAAGCTCTGTATCAGGCCACTGATTACCTGCAAACCGCACGCACACGTTCCATTATCGTTGCGCAGCGCTGCCTCGTGAAACAGTTAATGGGTTACACCATGGCGAAGCATCAAAAATTATTTCAAACGTTTCGAATTGTCGCGCTTTCGACAGACAATGACAAACTATAGCCATTATTCCGATACTAGACTGGGAATATTTATTCGTTTATGACAAGTTTAAAAATACAAAGATATACGATGTTATAGTTTCAATAAAAATTCCTACCGCTTCGCAAAGCTTCAACATTCCCGGCATGGTCTTGAGGAATTCCACGTGTATGCACGTGCAACATCTGCAGAAGCAACACGCGACACCTCCAGATGCGTGGGTGCTGGCGGAGGACATCCTGATCATCGGACCCGCCCCGTTCCTGCCCATCACGGCCGCCGTCGCAAAGATCTATCTATCAGCCACTGAATAGCGCGATTTCGAGGCCTCGTTGCGCCCTGCGTCGGATCAACCTTCACTCGAGGACGTCCAAGGTTTCGCGAGAGTATCCGTTATCAAACCGTTGGGTCTCGGCAATTAACAAGTTCATTGAACCGTCTCGTAGCACGCCCGGATCCTTGATTCGGTCGCTCTAATTGGTTAAACGGCGATTCATTCGCATCGTTACAGAGCATGAGCCAATGGATCGGACACGGGTGATCTTCGGTGAGGCTCCAGACACGGGCTGCAACTGTTTAGGGCTTTAGGGCAACGAAACGCAAACGAATAACCGTTGAATGTAGATAACTGAGCAAACCGAACGGGATATTTCAAGCGACGAGAAAAAGGAACCGTGGACGCGTTCGTGAACGCTTTCCAACAAACTGAGGGTGTTTCACCAGTTGATCCAGAACGTTTAAATGTCGTTGCACCCCCCGCGTAGCATGCAACGCGGAGGAATACAGACAGACGTCTATTTCTGGCACGTGCCACGCCAGAACGTATGTCTCGTTGGCTCCACAGCCGTCACACAGGAAATATTTAAAAAAAGAAACAGCCGAACGGGGATGTTCGTTTCACAAAGAGAATTTCATAGGTGAAGGACTCTCGAAGGTTACTGAGTCGAGGTCCTAGGCTTCGTATTATAAGAGATATTAAAGGATTATCTTTTTAACACTTGAATAATTTAATATATTATTACTATCTAGTGTTAAGTTTATGCTAGGATCATGTATTGGATAATGCTGAAACTGTCACCAGTCCTTTATACTAATTCTTCTTGCGAAAAGGGGGATGAATGGAGTGGATCCCGATCGAATCACGATTAACTCGTCGCAGGTGACGATGTCGGATCGATTCTTGGTTTGTTGGTCGAACACGCGCCCGCCTATGCATAATGCGATTGCTTACGTTGTGCATCCCACCGCAGTATCCTGTTCCTTCTCTCTCTTTGAACAGCTTTATTGAAACTCATCTCGCATATGCCGCGCTACGTGCGGACCCGCGTCCTGTCGATGGCCGTGCGAAAGAAAGCCTCAATTTTCATCGACGTAACCCTCGAATTTTTTGGACTCACAACTGCCAACTGCGTCAATCGTACGCTGCCGTGCATTAAAAAGAGACTACAAACTGGCTTTCCCCTGTAAACGAGCTATTATCGCGATTGTTGCGTCAATGGTCGTTATTTACACATACCTTGTAAAGTTATGTGAATTTTTTCGTGCCAAAGTGCGTAATAATTTCGAAGATGTAAGAAACTTAAATTAAGTTCTATTCTTGCACCAAGAATAATTACGATTATGGAAATAGATTTAGGCTCAATCTTTCGATGCAATGATCTGTCTTTATGAAATGTTTTATTTCGTCTTGTTTTCTTATATTAAAAATATTACATATAAGTACAATAAATATCCGTGTACGCGTGTTTATATACTTTATATAAATATAGTTACAAAAAGAAAAAAAAACTTGTGCGAATGACGCATGTAGATCAGTATAAGGAGTACAAAATGCCCACGTAGTATATCAGTTAGTGTGTGGGGAGTGTCTGTATATCGCGTAAAAAAACCTATAATTTAATTTGTAATTCGTTCATCGCTCTGTGCGTCTGAGACGAGCTGATCGTCGACGTAATACGTTTAGAGAGTTAAATAGCGCGATGGCAGTACGTGTGTATGTATGAAATATAAATATATCGTTTGAATTACACTCAGGTATAAAAAGTCGTGACTTAGATAATACTTAAATCACGTTTGGCATCGAATCACCGTGATCCAAATCAGTCCACAGTTTACAGAGTATACGAAACCAATTGGACGAGCAATTTAAACCTTTGCGGTTGAAATTTTCTCGTTTCATTACATCGAGGTAAACTCGACATACGGATCGCAAAGGGTTACAGACACGCAGATGTTTGAAGATTCTTGACAAAAAAACGCAACGGTCTCCTTAAAGTCCTCTGTGCGTGCGCACAGCTATGATGGTGCTCAGAAAATATAGCGCCGAGTTCACCAAACCACAGATCTAAAAAAAGGTTCGGTTAGTAAATTTAAAATAGTTTGCTTTCGATACGTTACACAGATTTATTCGACTTACAGCACCAGTCATCAGCACTTCGTAGCCTCTTTGATTTCTGTTGGAAACGTTCACCAGAAACGTTAGCGACGCGGCTAGAATCAGTCCGAATGCTATCGCGTGGTACATGAGTTCCTATAAGAAAGATGAACTCGTTAGTATTTATGGTTGCCCGTTGGTAGAATTTTCTAATACTCACATAAATGGTTTTGACGATAATTGAAGAAGTTGAGAACGATGCTAAGCAGCTCACGATGATAATAAATGTACCAATCATAAATGTTGTCATTATTAGTAGGAAAAATAATTCAGCGGTGACGAAATACTGATTTGTGGTGAACTGATGACCGATTATTCCCACGCAAACGACTCCAAGCGTCTGAAACACACAAAAACGAAGAGACGTTCGGTTAGAATTAGTAATACAAATCAATGAAGCTAAACCAACCAAAGTCACATAAGCTCAAACCTTAGCGAACGTTGGCACACGTGCTCAGACTTTAGCGCGCGTTGGCACACGCGTTATGGTAGCATATGTACTTTTGATTGCCGTGGCTTTTTGGTAACAAAAGGATTGTGTGAAATGGTAGACACTAACTCGAATTATTTATTGCATGAATTTGATCTTGTCTTATAAATCAAAGTTATTCCTCGATTATATTCGGTATTACTTTCGAATCAATTGATGCTCAAGATAAAAAATGAGTTGTTGAATGCCGAAATTATATCTTTCCAAATTATTCTTTCTAAATTTTACTGATACTTTAGTGATGATTTAACAGGAATACGATAGAAAAATACATAAACACGAGGTTGCACCACTAGTTCAAGCAACGACCAATAAACTCACCAGCTGCAACAACTTGATGATGCCGCCCCACGTCTTCAAGTAGCCGCTGTTGATAATGACCGAAGTGGAGTGGCTAGTCATCGTTTGCGTTCTGACGGTTACCGAGTGAGACATTGTCATTTCCTTCGTTGCCGACACTGAAATTTAAAAGCATCGCGTCACCACAACGCACAATTTGTAGAAAGCAACTCCAGCGCGTTCGTTTGAGATTCCCCTGATGAGCGGACAAATAGGGCCAAGGCCAAAATTTCGAGGCGTAAGCCACATTTCATGACGTGCCTCTTCCTTTCTCGATGCACAGAAATAGCATCGAGCCTCGGATTTAATTTTTTCATGTGACATGGAATATTCCCCCAATATTCTCGCTATGGTAGGTATCAAATACTGTTCTCGCACCTGTGCCAGACAATCCAGCCGAATAAATTATATTTCTCGTAGAGAAAAGTCTTGCAAACAAATTTGCGAAATTGTCTCACGGTCGTTTAGAACCAATGAAATGATTGGAAATGCATTTGCATCGAAGAATAGTGGATCATCGATGAACATTCAACTAAAATTACTAAAGTAACCGGCCATTTATAAAATTGTGTTGAAATCAATATGGATCTTGTGCTTCTTGTCCTAATAGGGTTCTACTTAAAGATACAAAGAGCGATTTATCGTTACTAAAATTCCTTCGTTAGCAACGTCACAGACTATTGAAAAAAAGTGTTTTATAGTCGACTAGGACTAATGAATAACTTAGAAACGTTGCAATCACGACAAACATTACCATACATTCGTTACAATTATTCCTAATATTCAAATTGGGGTTAATTGTACACTTTTCCTTCGTATGAGTAAGACTTATCTTACAAAGGTCATTTGAAGGTCAACGTATCGTACGCAATTGGATTTCTTTTTTTTTATAAGCCACAATGCTACACCAGTGAAAACATGTCATCCCATTAAGAAAAATATAGATAACCTCGATAGAAAGTAAGAGCACGCGAAGATATGCTAATGCGCAACCTTGTGGAGAATAGAAACGACGCCGACGATTTCGCTTTCGTCCTATTCTCTCCTTGCTCTTACAATTTCTCACTGATCGATAAAGCGGGTGTGACTATAGCATTCACTTTCTCCCTCTCTCAAGTTACGTAACAGCTGAAACGACAATTTAATTGCAGAAAAATACTAGATCGATCACTTCGCGGGAAAAAACTCTTTAATAACATCATTCGTTCTCCGAACTAACCCTGATAAGCCGGTCAAAGATAAAGTATAGCGGTAGGGCCCGAGTTATGCGCGACAACCTTCATGGAAAACTGATAACAAAAACATGGCAAAATGTTCGCGGAACTCGCTTTCAACAGCGAGGACTTTTGCCTAGAAATTTAACAATTATAAAGGAACATGGTCATGTCATTGATAACTTGTTTTAAAAATTTAATGACATTAGTGCTAGGTACTAGTGAGAGGGTTTCAGGATGGATACAGATTAACACCGACTGCTCGTTAACGGTTAAACAGAAGAGCGACGACGGTCGTGTGCCGCCAAAAGAATGCCAAATTACCGAATTCTTACCAAACAAAGTGGTCCACTGTCCACGGTGCGTCATTGCATAGACGCGTCAATAAAGCGTATTTGACGTGACGATACGTTCTCGGTAATATTCTTTCCACGAAGCGTAAAAGAACAGATATCGTAACCGACATAGTGCAATGAAGATATACAGAAATCTCACCAAAAAATATTTGCAATCTATGTCGCGCGTTACAATACGACCATGGGCCGACAACGTCGTACGTTGGCCTTCGTGACGAAAACATGAGCGACGAAAACACGGCAGTGACGCTTCGCGGACAGATGTTGATTCTTTTACGTTTGTCGTGACAACGAAGTATGTATAAGCGTAAAATATCTAATACGTGGCCCTTACCATGTTAAAATTCATTGTTTTCTGATAAATCACTCCTAAGATCCAATTTCAATATATGCATATACACACTCAAACGTACGATTTTTTTTTTTTTTTTTTTTAGTCTCATCAATGCTCCACATATAAATTCCACCTTCTGAGAAATAAAACAAACCAAAGGCCAATAAACTTACATCCAAGCATGCATGCACACCGCTCCAAAATTGAGCGGTACCAAAGACCTATATAATATACATAGAAATCGCAATAATTAATTTCATAACCATTCCTAAGGTATAAAAGAGACTAGAGACGAATTTTTGGACTCCCGGACTCAGGGTACTCCAAAACGTTGAGAAATAAAAATATTCAAGGTGAGCTAAATTTTAAATTAAAATTTGTATAACGATACTTCTTTAATTGCTACCAAGAAGGTAAGACACGCTCGAACCGGAAGCGAATCTTCCAACATACAGTGAAAATATCTTTTTTCTTCAACTCGGATTACGGACATTGCCCGAATTAGCGTGGCTACGAATAAACACACAACTGCCGTCATCGGTTATTTTTAAATGCAACAACATCCACACCTACGCTTCGGCGTTATCCGCCAATGAAACCGATAAGAGAACCGGCGAATTGACGTTTGAGCATGGTAATGTTTTTATCTCGCGTGATATCCATCCTTTTACGTTTTTTATGGCAATGAAACGTAAAGTAACCGTAAAATATCTAATACCCGCCGATGAAGCGACGCCTCTGTGAACAGTAGGACTTAAACTGACCTTGCTAATTGTAAGATGGATGATCACGCCGCAAGCGTCTGCGATTGACTGAATTGCACGGTTGTGTTTCCAACGCGCTACCATGAATGGCGTCACTGAGGGGCACGCCTGCGTAAACTGGAACAGGGAGCATCCGCCATCTTTCGTCTGGGAAGCAAACCGGTTCGATGAAACGTGCATTGTTTGGTTGATTCATTAATTTTGCAGGAATTGAAAAATTACTCAACCAAATGAAAATTTAAAAAATTAAATTTTCGCGTTATAATTCACGAAATATATTTTCACGAATAATTTGTAAGGTACAATTCGTTATTTGTAAAATGGAATCATCTGCATTTTGTAATAGGTGAAATATAACTTTAAAATGTTTTACTTAATTTTATGAATCAAATACTATCATATATCCCAAATTCAATATTCATTTTTAAATATTACTTTTGATTTAAATAGCATTAAACATGATGTCGTATGTTTTTCTTTCTATAATGCAGCTTAGAGGTTCGATACTCATACGATTCAACGATAGTCTTGCACTAAAATTAACCTAATAACAAAATGAAACTTGGAAATAAAAATGATTCAAACGCACGTATATGTGTATATATTTTCGTACATGATTGTTAACGACACGTGACAACAGTGTCGGAGAGAACAATTTCTTAAACAAATGCGTGATTCGATGTTGCTCGTAGCCATGCTTGGGAAAAGGAAGGACCGTTGTTCGGTCTTGTAACGAAAGTGAAAATTGTCACTCGTAAATTCATCTATTCTTATACTTTACTTAACACTTTATCTACCGGGAGCCCGTTTACAAGACTTTTTAATTTGAATTTATCACCCCGATTGTTTACTTGCAGTGCTTAATATTTAAAAATAAATGAACCTTTTGCTATACTGCTGACTGCTTGTCAGTCCCAAAAGCATTGCTGTCCTCTGTGCCTAATCAAGTAATTTGTCTAAATTAAGTGGTAGGTTCGATGTTTCCAAGTAAAAGTTTCATGAATAAACATTACACGTGTTTATATTTGTAAAGAAATATTTATTTCGAAACATCGAACCTATCATTTAATTTATACAAATTTCTTCAATATTTATGAATACAAGACACGAATACATATTGGACTGACTATATTATAACTATCTGAATATAAACTTAACATAGAAAGTCCTCTTCTAAGATGACTTCTTTCTAAATAAACCGATAGTTAAAGTGTTAATTACGCATCGATGTTGCCTCCAAATAGCATCGAATCGTTTACAAGGGATCTGTGTAGGTTTTAAAGGCACCGTCGAAAATGATCGTGCGTGTATTTCCATAGCAGTATGTGTAGAAAGAAAATACAATGTATTCGCAAACATCCATTTATATAGTAATCGATTATCCTTTCACACGCTTACATCAACGAATGCGAAATACAAGGGCCCTTTACGTATGAGTGAAAGATAATAAAAAAAGAAGAAGAACGATGTAGACGGCACTCGATTTGTGCAAATATATTACCTATATAAAATAGATATACATATATATATATATATAATTTGTGTATACATATAAGTAAAAACTCGCGGTAGTGCGACAAAAAAGGTACGGTTAAAAAAATTATTTGGACGGGAACAGTGCCGCACGAGATACGCGTACCAACAACCGAGAGAATATTCGTTTGTAGACCGATATTCGTGAAAAGCACTCCCGGAACATCGACGTCCAATATGGATTTTGTCGATCCTGGGACACTATTCTTACATGACAAACGGCGCTGATGTTCTCGATAATTACAACTATTTGTATCGTGGAGAACACTGAACCGTGCGACGAAGAGAATCCACGAAAATCCTCAAGAGGATTAACTGATGAGAAGAGGGACCTAAACTATTTGTCTTCGATCCTTACGTGCGTCTGCAGGGTGCTAGAGTACTTCTGATGCAGTGTACGAGATATTAGGCGTAGATATTCAATAAATGTCGACATAGAAGGGTTATATACTTTCAGGCAGAATCGGCGAAATTTTCTTCGAATAATAAATGGTGAAGAAAGACAGCGAAGTGATTTATTCGCAGTGTTTATCGATTGAACTGGTATCCAGATATGCTTTTATCCGTTCAACGTGAAATATAACTTAATTGTAGGTATACTTAAGATTGAAAATCTTTATTGATTGTTTACTTTTCATTGATTATTCGAATTTTCGTATATCTAGATGAGAGTTTTATTCATCTCTGACATTTGTATCGATACAAAGTCTGTTACGGTTCTTGTATAAAAAGTGACACGATTCGTTAGGAACCACCAAGGTACGCAGTTTTATTTCTGCTATTTTATAAGGTCATCTTTAAATCCTTTTATCTACAATAACTCCTTTCCCTAATATTTCATACTTCAGCCTGCAGAAGCGCATTAAAATCGAAGAGAGACAAATCAGGTTCTTTCTTCGTAAAAGTCGTTTCGTGTTCCTTCGGCGCAACAACCCGTCCTAGGCCCGCGCAAAACCCTGACTTACTATATCCGTTTTTGTCGGTCGTTCAGCGCTCTCATGGTCGTCCAAGATACGCACGAAAGCGAAAGCCATATTACTGCAAGTCAAATAACTTTGAAATATCGACATGGCTGCATAAATGATAACCATGCATGCACGTTCCTCAGTAGAGTTCTCAAAAAGAGGAAAGACGATGACTCACATCGCAATGACCTTCACCTGTACCCCGGATGCAAGTCCCGTCGAATCCAACATGACGAAACATTATAAATAGCGACGAAAAATATTATATTAGTTAAGTAATGTATTTATCCTAAATTTGAGAAATTGGATTCAACATAATTTGCCTCCCAGGTACACATCGTGGAGTCTGAGTGTCAGGATGGCGACGAGAGCGATTGAAACGCGGAGCCGTTAGTCGGCTGAATCTTAAGGCACATAGATTTTACAGAGTCTCTTCTCGTTAAGCTACGACACACGATCGGGTGAGGGGGTCCCATTGGACTAGCTTCTTTCGACCCATCGATTCCTCCGGGTGGGTGTAGCGTTTTAGACCGTGTCCATGGATGTTGGTCAGCCAGCAGACCCGACGTGATCGCGAGAACCCCAAGTGTAGTAGCCCCGCCGTAGAGGTGCTCTCTTCAGGTACCTGGCGTCTCTCCCAGTACCTCCGATCCTCTTCACTGCGTATTGCTGCTCTTCCACTCGATGTACAGAAAGTACGCTCCGGCAGCGTACGCGAGCGTGTTTAAGATTCCAAATACCTGCGGGGCAAATTGCGAAGACACGTTGACTCTTGGGCTAGAGAAAAATTTCGCCCCGTCTTTAATGCACAGTAGAGCTCGTTTAGTCTTACCCCGCCAGCGATGTTCGCCGCAACATAAGATCCAGTAAATGCGCTCCAAACAGATAATTGAGCGATGAAGGCGATCATGTACAGGACGGCGGACGACGTTGTGTTCAAAAGCTCCTGCAAATGATTAGTTTGGTGAGTATTTAACGATCGTTAAGCTTTAACAGTTAAGTTTCCATTTAAATTCCTTTGCTTACCGTCAAAATCCAATTGATGGGTATTTTAAGAGCCTCTCTAATTGACAGCAAATAAATAAAACACCATATTAATGTGGCGATAAACGTTGTTACGGCGACGAATAGAAACCAATGGCTCGCACTTAAGCGCGCTGGAGACACGCACGCCATGCACAGTATACCAAGGCCCTGAAACAATCACCATACGTTTGCGTTTGATTAGGCTCGTTTAAATATTTCAACGAAATTTAAATTTAAATGCTCGACGACTCGTAATCGTGAATACCTCCTCGTTTCATTTACTCGTGTATGAATTTGTAAAGGAAACAATGTTAGGATTTACTGAAGCAATGTCTGAACTTTTTTTATATTTACAAAGATCTCAGGAAAGAGATCTCTTAAGTTTTTAATTCTTATTTTCGAAACTAAACGTCGTATGAATAAACTGTAAATATACAAAAAGTACCGTCTTATCATTCCGTACAAGCTGATATTTTTTTTTAAATTCGAACCTCTACGCCTCTTAGAATTTCCAGCAAAAATCGTCCCGCGTTCAAAGGGTTGAAAGATCGTTCTATAGTGTTCAACAACTAATACGAAGTCTACAATCAATTTATTCATTTCTCTGCCATTACAATACAATCTTCGTTATCGAAACAAATACATTCAAGAGTGACCTATGATTTTCGAAACGTAGAATTCTGTACCACCCTTGCACGCCGTTTGTCTTTCATTCTATCGTACTGTAAATTCGAGTTTTTCGGATAGTTTTCCACCATTTCCCGAGCCTTGATACGAATTTCTTCAAATTTACGAAGATAATCGGACGTCCGAAACACCGAGGTCGGTTCTTCAGATATCAATTTCTCACTCTTTGATTCGAGAAGTTCTGGTAATTCTCTCGACAAGGTGTCCGAAAGGTACATTTCCCTACGATTAGACCTCTCTCTAGCTTTCTTCAGCTTCTCCTCTCTCTCAGTTTCTTTGACAACCAACGGGAGCCTCTTTGCTTCCAATTCCGAAGGAACCAAGTTTCGTTTACTTAGAAGCACAGCCTTCATTCTGTCGTGCTCCTTCGACTTCCACGCGACGTGTTTCGGTCTTGGTGCGCTGCGCGACCGTTTCTCCGCTTTCAATCTCAAACGTTCGTCCTGCTCTCTCCTGAGTCTTTCCCTGGCCTCCACCAGTTCTCTTTTGCGTTCCGCGTCACGCCTAGCCGATCTTTTTGCTATAACGGCCGGATCGTTGGCGAGAAAATCGTTCTGCCAGCTGGAGAAAACCTTTTTCCTTCGCACTTCCCTCCAGACGTACTCCTCGAACCAGTCCATCCTCTCGATGGTGGTGTCGCTGCAGAGAGTCTCCGGTTCTCTCAACACGCGAAAGAATCCTCCGTCGTCGCCCACGCCTATCCCCTGGAACTGTCCCCCGACTGCGGAACAATCCAGTGAGAGCAAACAGGTGATCGGTCTCGACGACACCGTTTGAGAGAAAACAGGCTCGCTGGATTCGTTCTTAACGTCCCAGAGGTCGAGTTCGCCGCGTACACCAGCGAGCAGAAAAACACCGGGTTCGTTGGCCCAGCAGCTGGCCGTGTATCGACGATCGGTTCGCCTCCAAAACAGAGGCGAGTCCAGACAGTCGTCCTTCCAGATCGCGAACACGCGTCCACCAATCGTCAGAAGCACCTCCTGAAGATGCGGCGATCGCATAATTTCCGTAACGGGACCGTCGTGCACGCACGACCGAGCCAAGATCTTGCATTCTATGGCATCTGCAGTTCCCTCGTCGTACATCTGCTCGTCCCACGTGCACCTTTATCATCATCATCATCGTCGTCGTTATTATCAACATTACTACCATCAGGACAACACCCATTAGTTTACGGTATTTGCTTTTTCAAACGGACGTTTCTTCAGCATGCTGGAAAACTAGACTAGTCTCTAGTCGAGAGAACATAGGCTTGTCTGTGTTGGAAATGTGAAAGTTTGCGAAAATATTGTTACTAGGAAACTGAATCTAATTTTTGAAGCTTCAAGCTCCAGTTTGGAAATTCTACTGAGCTTAAGATCTCAAAGTATTTACCTTGAAAATAAATTTTTTTACCACTATAAGATTCACTCAGAACAATGGAGCTTTCTTGTTACGAGTTTATTCGATATTACTATCGCAATTATTTTGGAAATTACGGCTTAAATTTTTTAACACAATACATTGCAACCATCGAAGCCTAGTTTCTCAGACATGCCAGGAAGAAATCACGTTTCGACCAGTGCAATCGCATCGCAGCTCTTTTGAGACGCATACATTGCATGTCGTGACAGTAGAAGCATCGTGCAAAGGTCCCCTGGTATCACGGTAGTGTAGTATCGCGCCCCCCATACCGACGAAGAAGCTGTCAAACGAGAATACGAATCGTAAGGGTGCGGGATTGGTCGCGTAGGGAAACCAGTCGACTGTGAATCCGAGGATCGTGGGTACGAATCTCCGTGCCTTATTTTTCGTAGAGACTCGTACAGTAGTAAACAGATGGGTGTTCGATGCGTTTGTTAACGTCGATCGCACCTTATCAATCCCTCGTCGCATCCAATCCAGAAACTCTTCATGTAGTCCGTTTCCTTCGAGCTCAATTCATGCGCGTTACGCTGATTTTCATCGCTTTCCTGAAGAACGCTGGTCGACGACAACAACAAGCAGGTCAAGTTTAACGATTCTCCATTGGCAACAGGAATTTCGAAGCGAAGAATCGGCTGGAAAGCATCGCCCGAAACTTTATCGTCGAGATTCCAAACCGCCACGGTGCCATCCTCGGATGCGGTTAGAAATTGCGGGCCGGTGACGACGGTCGACTTTGTCAGCTTTCCACTTGGCTCTATTTTGTACTTGGCAGGCATCCATTGGATCCTTCGTACAGGGAGTCGGTGAGAGCGACTATTGTCAGAGACGACTATCGCTGGTGCGTACTCTTCTTGATCTGTGAAGCTACGCGCACCTAGACGGATAAAAAAATACATTTTTCAAAAATACATTCTAATAATCGATGACGTTATTTTATGGTCATATACCTTGAAAATTTTAGTTGTGAGTTTCAATTATTTATGAAATCGGAGACTTAATTAGTTAGCGAGTCGTACGACGAAATGCTGCAAACTTTTAAGGAGTTCTTTTTATTATATTCTTGAGGAACAGAAAAAGTATAAACTATACTAGACTACTGGAATATGATTCTAAACTTAAATGTGCCGGTTGGTACAATATGGAGAAAGAATTGTTTAAATTCCGTGCATGACTTTATAGTTCGTTAGTCCAAACCATTTGATGCAATTCTAATGGAAATGATGCCACTGTTCAGAAAACCATCGTGCGAATATTTATGGGGGATCGGCTGTATACCTACATATATCCTTCTAATCTTTCAATAAAAAAAATTACCAACGAATAAAAGTTTACAAAATTCGCATTCCGTTCGCCAGTGCCAAGTTCTCACCATTAGGATCGTTGCTGGGGTCACTCTTCGTGTCCCAGATGACCACGTGACCAGTGGAGCAACCTCCAATTACCAAGTTGTCGTCAAACGGACAAAACGAGACGCAATATATCTCTCGATGGTATTGCAGCCTAAGCAAAGGTCGAAGAGGCTCGTCAAACTTCCAAACAAGCACTTTAGATTGAATTTCGTGTTGCGATACAATTTCACTCGCGGAAGGAGTTTGAGCAGGGACGCTGACGTACGAAATCGCCGCACGGTCTGGTACCATGGATGGCAAAGACACATCGAAAACTGCTTTGTTTCCAGTGAGTTTCAAGTCTGCGAACGACAAGTGCTCCCGAAAAGCTGGAGCCTCGGCTAAGTTCCTAATTGGAGATCTATGTCGAGATAAATCCTCGATATCGTCCACGTACACGTTGACAGCCGCATTATACTTGACCACGTCGATCATTTCATGGGACCGTTCCTCTAGAAACAATTCCAGAGGCGTCTTTTCCTTAGGCTCATCGTCGCTTTCTTTATCCTGAACGTCGCTTTTTCCTTTGGACCGTTCCTCGTCGGTTCTCTCAGACTCTTCGGTCACCCCTTCCTCGAGATCCTCCTCAGGCTCGACCTCCTCGTCCAAAGTGTCCTCGTACACGTATTGCGTCCATGCGTTCTTAGGATGTCCAGGATACGTCTGAACGAACGCCTGTCCAGGTTGCAGGTGAGTCTGGGCAGACCTGCAGATGCACTTCCTATCGATATTATCAAATCCCTCGTTCTTATTCACGAGTTCCACGTAGCTGTCCCTGCAACTGCCAGAGTCCCTGTCGTCTAACGTTCGAGTCGAGCCTAGAGTGTCTCCAGGCAACGTGATCTCTACTTCGAACAATTCCCTGATACCTGTCGCGAAGGTTTCGTCCACTTCCGACTCGCTGCCCAAGAATTTCCACGGTTTCGGAGTCTTCAGTATCTTGTCGAGCACTCTCTTCCAGATGGATCTAGCGATGATCTTGTTTCGTTTCAAGATGGCGCGTTTCGCTTCCTCGGTGAGACAGATCACGAAATCGTGGGAGGCCAGTTGAGACGAGGCATAGCCCACGAGGAACGTGTCGCCCTCGTAGACACCGATCTTTTCCTCGAAGGCTGCCAGAGGCGATTCTGGTCGCTTAGCTAGCCGCGCGACTATGTCGCGATTGACGTACGCCCATGGGTATTCCAGGAACACGTGCTCCCCGACCAAACAACCCAGTTCCCGTTGTGTCTCGAGATCGAGCCTCAACCGTTCCACATTTTCGATATTTTCGTCGACCAGCGTCCAGTCGAGCGGACACTTAACCCCTTTCCTCGGCATCGCGCGTCTTCCTAAAACGCGGCTCGGTGCCTCATCTCGGACACTCTGGTCGTCGAACATCGATCAAACGTTTCCGTGACTTGGATACCGCCCTGGCGCTACGATACGGAAATGTTGTTACTATTTTTACGTGTGGTTGTACAAAACGAGACGCGGGACAGCGATCTCCAGACCTTTTTTAGTCGCAGAATTTATGGAATCTTACAATATACACTTATGAAGTGCTTGTTTCCTGTTGGCGATTTTTAGGTTGATGATCTTACTTTTACAGCAGAATTAAAATGGAAATTGAATCGAATCTGTATTCCATGTAAGACTAGTTAAAAACGAGACACCTAAATGCAACGAATCTTGCCTTATTTTATTAACCTTTTATTGCTTTTATTTTTTTTTTTTTTTTAATTCACACCTCTACGCCTTTTAGAATTTCCAGCAAAAATCGTCCCGCAGTCAAAAGGTTAACGATACAAATAAACATCTGAGTACGAAAAATAACCACTAGATTTGTAAAATCATTATTTTCACTTCTAATATTGAATCGAATATTTCCATTACTAGAATAATAATCTAAGTAAAAAGATTTATTCAAAGTTATGCGAATAATGGCCAAGTCTGGCATGGAGGGGCGAACGGGCGCGAAAGTGCGAAGGATTGGAACGCTTAGAACTGTATACCCAAGGAAGAATTTCACTTTCACCGTTTGAAAACGTCGTCGACCGCGATAAACGCTCGACCAAGAATTCCTAGCATTAACGGTTCTTGCGTGGTATTGTACAAGTTATTAATATTCGATTGCAACGGTCCGAAGACTATGGATGCCTCGAAGACACGATTTAGAAACTCGCAGGTGCAATCTATTCGCGTCTAAACGCACAGCGATCGTTGTAAGAATGTAGTTTCTCGAACAAATATAAATAAAAATTATCAGTAATATTTCTATTACAACTACAAAAAAAGAAACCTTCTCCACGCGAAGCAAACTCCACTTTCATTCCATGTGAAACAGCGTTTGAAATAGCTTTCCTCTAAATTTTCATTTGGCACTTACCGCAGCCGATCCCAACGTTCTAGCTACCGTTTTTTCCCGCGTATACATACCGCCCTATCCATTGACCTTTCGAGAGTGGCGCGCCCAGGCGAACGTCGCGTCACTAAATATACGCACCTGACAAGTAGAAAGCCTAATGGGTGAAGAAAAAAAAAAAAAAAAAAGAGGATCGCGTGCCAGCGTGCCTCGCGACACGCGATAAAATCCGTTTTCTTCTACGTCGGTCTAAGCGAAATTGTTTAAAAAGTTTCCACGGCGTTCACGCGACGCGAGAAAACATCCACGGTGTAACGGGTATTCCGAAAATAACTTTATTGAAGATAAACAGCGGCTCGAAAATATAGGTCGGGGTTCTGCATTATTCATAGGGGGAATGGTCCGTATGACGCGTCAACGCGCCTCTTTCAGTGTAACGTACATTACGCATATAACATTAACTATCGTAAAACGACGGCAGTCAAGTACGTCCTGATCCCATTCACTTAAGCACCGTAGATGTAGAAACGATGAGCGGCCGAGCAGAAACGTAGCGGATCACATCGACGACTTAGAAATCGTGCGCGTATTCCGAACGATTTCATTAACTCTTTGAGTTTTGCACCTTTTGCTTAGGTTTAATAGATGAAAGCGACCAACGTCGGAACCCTAACTTATTTTATTACGTAGTTTGCAAGCGGCGACTGGAATAACTACTTTAAAATAGCGCCACGAAACGGTGGAATCACGTTTGTTCGCTTGTTACCCAGCATTAACGAGTGAATCCATAAATACATAAAAAAAAAAGGAAACTATTAGTGTAATGAATACTGAACTATAAAATGTACAAAATGGAAAACCGTATAAATTAAATAAAAATATTATTAAGAATTGTTTGTCCGCGTGTCTCCAAAGAAATTTACAATTTGTCCAGCGGGGACATTCGGTAAATTGAGGTAACAGTTTATGGAATTTTAAGACATAGTCTAAATAATCCAAATGCACGCCACGCGAGTAAAAAAGACCGCTGGCTTTGCGAAGAACCATCGGGTCTAAAATTACCATCATCCGTTTGGAAGTTCGTCTCTTCGATGTCGACCGATAGCCCGCAGAGTTTGGGCGTACGGAAACTGCTGTAGTAATCGTTGAGACGTCACGAGAAACACATTCCCAGCTAGTTAGTAAAGGTCGGTAAAGGTCAGATGAATTTATCGAATAAGGACAGATTAAATTAATCGAACAGAAGCAACACGATGGCCTAAATGTCTCAATGATGCGCGCGTTCAGATGTTCCGTTGCGGTATTGGACAAAATTGGTCGATCACCACTATGATCACTGACGATGGTTACTAATAAGACGTTACGACTTCGATTTCGAGTGAACTTCATTAGCTTGTAGAATAGCTGGAAATGGTGCATAGGTAATTTGTTTAACTGCTGTAATATAAGATCAACCCTTCAACCCTTGTGATGGTAACTTGAGCGCAGGTACAGTTAAAAGAAAAAAAGTTTTAACGAAAAGTGAAAACACTGGAAAAACGATACTTCGTATGCACCAACTTAATACCATGTCTTTAATATTACTGCACGTCATAAATGCATAAAATCTAGTGATCATTAATTAATCTGATAATCGAAAGCGATTATTACAGAAGTAGCCAACACTGTTCTACAGGGTGGCACACTAAACGGTATAAAAGGAACGATGAACTCGCTTCTTGTGAATATTGTTTCGTGATTGAGATACCGTTGAAATAGAATACTGAAATCATGCTAGAGGATCATGATCCAGACGGACGCAGACGTGCGACTGCTTGCAGCAGAAACAGAATCGCTTCTGGGCATTTGTAATACGAGCGTGTCCGCGCGTCTACGCAGAGAAAACCGCTAAGTCGGTTGAAGTTGAGAGAATTACTCGAGTTGGCGGAGACCACCGAGTACAGATAAGACACGACTCGCGGAGAAACCTTACGACCCACATGCACCATTCGTACGCTGTTACTAAGTAGCTACCGGTTGCAACCTACACCGATAACTTACGCATATGTAGCCGGTTATGCGACTCCACCGATTGATTGGAAGTAACGAAGAAGATGGTCAAACGACTGTTACGAAACTACAGTGTAATCCCAATGTATCGTCAAATGGAGTTACTTGCGACACCATTTGCTTCAAATCTATGAGCATGAATCCAAGTGTCTCGCAGTTCTGACGTATGCTACGATTTTCTGATGAAAATAATCACGAAGATTCATACAAGGAGTAGCTGCGTTTAACGTATCGCTCGAAGATACAAAAACAAAAAGTTCCAATGATTAATATTTCGTTCGATAACGGTACAATATCGAAAATTTTCCACTTAGAATGGATTCTCGCGTACGAGTCGACAAAATTCATCGATGTTATGTCGAAACGATGACGCGAGCATCATCCTAAAGCAGCGATGACTGTTAAGCGCATCTGGTGTTATCTTATCTTTCCAGAAATAATATTTTAATATCAGCCTCGTCTCGTTTTATCTATGAGATTTAATCCTCCTCGTTTAACAGCCCCGTAAAACACCACGAAATTCCGAGAAAACGAATAATTTCGTTGCTCGACGTTTGTAGCAAGAACGACGGGAACCACGCACAATAAAGAATGAATAATATTGATCGTCGAGCGTAAACTGTACCGTTTGGTGTTCGTTCCACTCGTTTCAATTGGTTAAATGTCAGGGATTACGTTATCTTGTGACGTGTTGCATTTTTTTTTTGCGTCTTAAAAGAAGTCAAATAACAACTATTATTCAAAGAAACAAATTATCTATATTATCGACCGGTTTTCGACTTAATCTTACGCTCTTCTTTGATAAACATTGCTGTACAGAAAAAATTGTACGAGAATTAGTTTGATGAGAATTAGAATTAGTTTAAATTTTGGTGAACCGGAAAGTTACAATGTTATTACTAAAATGATTAAAAGAAGAGTTAAGAGAAAGTCATGATATAATAACAAATAAAGAATTAAATTGAAACGTATACTAACGTTGGCATTTCATATGTGTAACAATATCCTTGTTTACGTTATCGTCGTTTTACCTTGATTCTGCAGTTTCACAAGTATTATCCTGATTCTTGCCATACTTAGAATGGCGGTTTCGAATCATATTTGTGCAATTCCGTGATTTACCGACTGATTATAGTTCAAGCGAGGCAAAAGTTCGCTATCGCGTTCGTATAATCACGGCGCAACACGCGGCGGTTATAGAAATAGACGCTTAATTAGCAATGTAAATCGCGTTAAATGAGGCTACAGATTTTGCGTTCAGGTACTCCTGCTTGAAGTTACAAGACCATAACGTTGTAACCAATGGTGGATTGTAGTACTCCTATAAATTTTAAAGAGCTTTCCAACAAGAATTTTAGAATTTTATTCTTTCTCGTGATTGTATTAGGTTGTCCTAAAATTATTTTAAAGAATTGTCTGTTATGATTAAAATAGGACGAAGGAAGGTACCATAACAAAATGGATAGTATATAACTGTGTAGCGTAACATAAAACATGAAACAGTAAGTACTAGTAAAACGAAAGGAACTTTATAGACAACCTAACGTAATGAACCACTGGCCGGTGCTAACAGCACAAACGAACGAAAGGATTACGTTAGTCGCGCATCGTTGCCATGTATATTCTTACTACAATGACGCAGGACCAGAATTACTTTTGCATATCGTCAGATACTATACGGAGGCTCGCGTGAATCATTCGTATCGCTGTTCGCGTTTTCGCGACCCGCGTAACCTAGAGACCATTCATACGACGAGTGCATATTCTGTTACCCTACGTAATCACCCCTTCTTCATACGTTTGCATCATTCAGCGAGGACGAGACGAAAACTAATGATGACTAATAAGGCTAGCTCTGCCTATTGGCGATTCCGTTTGCACAACGAACCACCCACGTTATACTACGATAAGATTCGTAAAAAAAAAATCAACCTACACGACTGCAACGTGTATGGCAGTCATCGACAACGTATGACCCACGATAATAACTGACCCGTCATCCAAATATCGATTAAGTCATACAAACAGAATTCAGAACGGTTTCTTAGTAAGAAACTAATTTTAATTTAATTACGAAATAAATGATGAATCTTTATTTGTCAACTATGTATGTATGTAGTTTCGATGTATAATTTGTAGTAATCGCTATTTTTGTAGATAAGTTGGAGTACAACGTTCCTACTTTTGTAAACAAACATCAACATTAGCGCTCCTCTTTTTATAACTTCGTAACTTCAGCTTAACGTTTCTACTTCCATGAAGAATCCGAAATACGAG